TAAAAAAAAAAAAAAAAAAAACACACACATTACTGGTAACTGTTCTCTCGAATCCAGATGATATTGTCCTTCGACAACGAGGCGTCAGCGCCTAGAGCAATCAACAACTTCTCACGAGGTAGACCCCCATAAAACAGGTCCTGTTTGTTCAACTGCTGTGTTTTAAGGCTGTACTGCCTGGCTATAGGTGTAGGGGAGCGGGCCGCAGCCTCCAGTGATGTACTGTCCATCACGAACCCTAGTTTGTCTGATCGAGAGTTGAGAGATGCAACCATCGCATTTAGCCGCGTTTCGATCAACGAAACCAAGGGGGACATCCCTTGCCAGTAGCGATTAAGTCCTCGCACCATGTCCAGCCCACCTCGAATGAGGTTAGTAGAGTCGAACAGCCCAGTCATCGCACCGGCTGCACTGAGGACATCAGCTGCGGAGAGAACCATGTAGCCCACGAAGGGGTTGAAAGCCATTGTTCGAAACGACTCCAATTCCGCACCGGGCCCCGAAGAACCATGTTCTGATACGTGTTGTAAAAACATCAGACATATCTGTAGGATCTCGACTGCGTGGTGTCTGGCTCGGCAGATAAACCGATTCACTGTTACAGCACGGAGATCCTCATATCGAACATATCGGTTTAACTTCAACAAGGTGTCATGATAAACCAGATGGTTAAGGAGAAGAATGTTCACTTTTTTGGTACGAATGCCTCTCTCAATATTGTCGGCCGTGATCGCGAGTTCATGGGGGAGCTTCCTGGACCATTCATCACACCGTTCGACAATTGATGCATAAAATGCTTCATAATCGTCATTGTATGATTCAGTGGAGGTCATAGAGAGTTTAAACCCCTGATCTGATACATCTCCCCACACGGACAGGATGTCTATAAGGAATGCCAATGGGCTCAAGACTGAGATGTCATCCGCTGATGGCGGCGCTTTGTTTTGAAAGTATGGCACTGTCGCGTATTGCTGTGCCTCGTAGGTTTCTTCCCGACATGGTAGACGTAGGAAGGCCGCTTGCGACGGTATGAAAGGTGAATTGAAACTCGAAAACCGCTAATGTTTTCATATTAGCAAAGGCACAACTGCTTGAGAAAGAGCAAGGAAATACTCACATCCATCAAGTAAGCAACCCAAAACGTCCGACGACGACATTCAATTAACGCTTGTGGATGTAGACCATATTCGCAGCCTTGGTTCTGATCCACAATAACACCCAAGGATTCAAAGTTATAATTCAGCCCGCTGACTGTTCGAATCGCTGCGCCTACATAGTCCCAAGACTTGAGTATAGCACCGATTGCGTAGTACCAAAGACTCATGATAATACGGCTCTGAGCCAGTTGCAGCGTAAGCGTGTTCTGGGTATGTTCCACGGCATATCGTGCTGTACGGGAGTACTTCTTCAAGGCCGCTACCTTGTCGGAGCGATCTGAAAAAACACATCCCATGGCCAGCATCCAATAAAGTAGCATTTTGTCATCAAGGGACTTGGTCTGGCAGGATTTAACCCATAGGAGGAACCGTTTTCGTGGAAATATCGGGTATAGGTTGTCATTCACGTAAGTGAAGTAGTTCTCGAGATGATGTGTGGTTGACTCCGGTTCGACTTCATATGGATCTATACTCCATTCGCGTGCAAGTGGATCATCAGGATCTAGGTCCCTCATTGCAAATAGGATCTCAGCGTAATCGGGTTGTCTCTGAGGCTCCATGCTGCCAACCAGGGAGCGCTTGAAGGATTCGTCCTTTCCAGCAGATACCCTGCTCAAGCGCCGCTTTTTTGAGCTGTGCGGTCGTTCAGATTCCCCATCGCTCCGCTGAGCACGGTCCCATGCTGACAGTGTGCCCATTGTTGTATCTGATTCCGGGGTGTGGGCGGCAGTGAGTGGGAGGGAAGTTGATCGTTCCAACGCGTGCGCAGTGCCCATAAAGCTGGAAGCACCAGGAGACTCATACGACAAAGCATCATGCCTGCTGGCCAGGTGTGAAGCTTTTGATCCAGCTCGGTTGCCACGAGGCCTTTCCAAGAATTAGTTAGTGCCACAGGAAATCTTCATAACACCGCAATCGAGTACTCACGCATTTTCGAATCGGCACTCTCGCCCAGATTTCTGGCATTGATCGCACTTGGGCAGATTTGGATGGCACTTGATTTTCTTTTCCCTGCAAGTAAGGCACGCCTGTGCCAATCGTTTCCTGGGCTTGCCCGCCTTGGTAATACCCCAATTCGCGTTAACCGGTACACCATCTATATTTTTCGGGCAATATGAATTGTCAGCGTACACATAACACAGCCCTTCTCCCTCTATGTATCTCTCATCGACTACATGCGGCTGGACTGAAGGTGCTTGTGGTCGATTTTCGGTAGCCGCCGTTGATGGACGAAGGTCACTGGCTGGTTCCCTGTGCGGAGGCGCTGCATCCAGGTGCGGAAGTCGGTCATGGTGCAACGGTTGGTCTGATAAAGTTCCGTGTGTTTCCTGGTGCGACCGCAGTTCATCCTCTCGGTTTCGAACGGGAATGTTGACTATCGGGGGTAAGCTCCTCGGCTCTTGATAGGTCGATCTATCGAAGATCGGTGCACTAGGCGCACTAGAGGCGAGACTACGGTCGTTATGGTGGACTGAATAACCCGCCTGGGTATCACGGCCTGGTCGGCGATCATAAGGAGACGATGCATTCGGCAGAGAGACGGGAGTCAGCAACTGACTAACCGACGGCAGTTGCTCCTTCCTTGGCCCCGTGTCATCCCAGCGCCGTCCCGTGCCCGAATTTGGTCTTTCTGTCGGGGCGTGCTGACGTAGGAGAGTGTCCGTTCCGAATCGTAATGGTATTGGCGCTCGAGGCGGGGGAAGTTGATATACGGAACCCATCGGTTCTCGAGAGAATCTTGACTCTTGCTCAGAAGGTGGATCATCGATGACAGGTAGCATACGGCCGAAGGGTCCGACAAAGTAATTGGGCATAATGGTATTTTCAATCGGGGATATATTCAATCTGTATACTCGACATAACAGCGGTGTCCAGTGAAGATATATCTCGTATGAGATACGGATCTGGTCGAAACGTCTCGCGTGCGTTGAAGTTCGCAGCCCCACAGGTATAAATGGACACTCGACCACGACCCCTAGAGACTGGAAAGCTGTGAGAAGTGTTGATACGCAGGACTCAGTCTGATAAAGACGATATTTAGCAAAAGTCCCTAATTTTGCCGGATCAGACAGACGCACCTTTCTTTAGTTCCGATTATTCTCTCCTCCAGCGCCAAGGATGGTAAGAATGGTAAGAACGGTAAGAACAATAAATCCAGGATATTCAACAATGAGGCTGAACTAAACCCGAACGATGCGGGGGGCACAGACAGATGACCAGCACCTCTGCAAGATGATGAATGATCCCCCTCGTAAGACGGCGCACGGCGAAGACTATGAACGATGATGACAACGATAAGAGAAGTGGCTTCTTCCCATAGGGCAAGACAATCAATATCAATTGGTCGAGTATGTCTGCGCCGCAGACTTCATGTGCACGCTGTCATGTCCGAAAGGAAGAAGAAAAATGAATGGGATGAGCGGACGACGGCGTTGCATCTAAGCACATCGGGTTCGCAAACGACAGTTTTAACTAGTAGATTGCCTGTCCGGCTGTTTTCTTTGTATTTTCTCTCAGTTAGGTTCTTCCCATATTAAGATTGCTGCAGGATCCCAATTGATCGACCGGCAAATTGACCGAGAGTCTTGTTTGGAGAATTGAGCTGGAGCTGCTGCGGTCACAGCTAAGCTGACTGTTTCATTATTGTTAGGCTTGGTTGGTTCTGAGGGGGCAGAGGAGGAGAGAAAATGAGAGGGAAACAAAAGAAAAGAGAAAGCGAGACACGGCGGAATGGGAGAAGATGACGATGAAGAGAAGTTTGGAATAACCAAAAACGGGAAGGGGCAGAAATCTTGGACCATCGCCTCCAGGGATGGATTTAATCTATTGAACGCACGCCAACGTTTTTTTTTTTTTTTTCCTCCTCTACTGTACTAGTGATAACATAAATACTAGTTCTTCTTTTATTCTACAATTGTGCCATAGCAGAATAAAGTGAGCAATATAACATTTCGGACATTTTCATGGCCAACGGTATCTCTTTTGCCTCCTCCCCGAAGAGTACACCACTCCATACCCTGAACAAGACCCGCGTTTCTGATGCGCACGAGATCCAGGACAATTGTTTCAACCAATTCCCAGCGTACGTACTCCGAGTCGGTAACTTGCGACTTTGGTCCAGCACCATGATAGTCACATCTGGTTTCCTTCTGGCTCTTAGAGTTTCGCTCCCCCGACGGACTTTTTGCGGGATTGTCGGCCGGCACTACCGTGTTAGAGAACTGCTCCGTACTCTATCATGTCTGGGTACGGGTCCTTGCTCCACCGTCTACTTGGTTTGGCTGCCTCGCAGGCTGCCCAGAAGTAGCAGTAATAGTGAGGAGAGCAGGGGACACCGTCTGCGACTCAAAAAAGGTATGGACGATCTGATCTGCAGCTGTCAAGAAGGGTAGGGTTCAAGTCTGGTCTTCCTGTGCGTTGACTTGCTTTTTTTTCTGTATGTTTACTCCGTAGTTATTAAAACTAATCAAAAAGCCTCCTACAGAGTATAAGAGTGATAGACGCATCTCCGTAACTCGTGCCGAGTCCCAAAGGATTGCTGGTTCGTTAAATGTATACGGAGTACATATACGGAACCAAAACGGCTAATGCACTGCCAGAATCCTTCGGTATCATTGGCGCGATCCCTTCGATCCCAAGAGTTCTACCCGAACATTTCCCGGACTGAATGAAGGCTAAGAAGGGAATGCGAAGTAAATCTGTGTCCAAGTGGCAACAACGGACACGTTCCATATTGAGATGGGGCCATTGTCCGTTCAAGGTTTGGCAAGGTTTGAGGCAAAGAAGTCCGATCGCGAGAAGCCACAAGAGACTCCGTCCGTCGATATCCGGATACCAGAATACGCACGTACCGGGGAGAATGAGAACGAATGTACAGACAATGGAGCAAAGATCTTCCCGTCGCGATCTCGGGATTTGAAATTTCGGCTCTACTAGCCGATGCAGTACTTTTTTACGCGGGATTCAGAGTGACTAGACAAGGATACTCTGTAGCATACAGGACACTAAGGCTGGGAGGGATTATTGACCAAATGACTGCGCCAGATACATAGAGTTCGCCGCAGAGTTCGCCCGAAAGAAAACCTTATGAATAGAAACGGACAACTGAATCATTCGGCCAAAGATGGAGGCTGGGGGTTTACTCGTACTGCTGATAAATACATTCTTAAATCCCGGCGAAGCATAATTTTACGATTCTAATGTCTTGTGTACCCCATATGTGCACCCACACATTATTCAAGCTTCGCCTATGACTCTCAATCTCATTCACTACCCCATTTTGCCCAGCTAGGCTAGTAGCCCAATAATAGTCCATGATGTATACGAGTCCTCCATAATGTCATTGATAAACGTTTGAATTTTATAAATTGCCATTTCTACTATGTAATACGGCCGGTGGCGAGCTGAACCTCAAACCATATCGGCGGTATATCTCGTTAGGGTAACAGGTTGATTTACTGTGCAGAGTACAACCTTCTGGAAATTCGGCATGGTCAATGCATCCTTACTGAATAATGCTACCGGAAAAGTACAACCTAAGCAAACAATTGGCTACTCATTCACCTTTAAATAACGTAATCTATCACCGAGAGGCGCATATCACCGAGAGGCGCGGTCGGCGGCGGCGCATACTAATTACTTCGTACATCTACGTAGTATCCTCTCCATGTTATAAAGCATGCCGAATCTATTAAATCTATTGCTATCTAAGAGGGCATTTTAATCTATTATGGCCCTCTTGGTTGCAATTGCTGCACCGTGCAGGCCGCCGTGATCTTGATGATGGCTCTTCTTGCACCTCTCTTTCTCTCAATCTTTGCAGTCCCTCATCACCAGTTAAGCTCCCTCCATCTTGAATAAAGGCTCGTGTCATCTTCTTCTTCTCTTGCTGATGCTTATTTGAAGTGCGAAGCTGATGGAGTTCTTGTTTTAATAGAACAGCATCCTGCATTGCAACTTCTGTGCTCTTCATGAACTTTTCAAGCATCTGGTCCGCGACAACTGAAGATAGAGACTGATTTTGAAGGTCTTGAATCTGCTTTTTCTGCTGATTCAACTGATAAAGATTGGCCGGTGTCCTTCCTAAATAAAAGGATTGATTGCTGGATGAGGAAGAAGGTGGAGTTGGTGTCTTCAGCTTGATATGGAGTTTTGCAAGCACTTTCTCCGGTTTAAAAGGAATAAGACCAGCAGCCGCAAATCCACTTAGTATGTTGGCCTTTGAGAATGCATGAGCATGGATTTTGGTGTAGTTAGATAGGAAATCCATTTTATCAATGGCATGGATGCCATTTTGCGCTATCTCTCTGATTTTCTGGCCATAGTAGTGCTTGAGCGGCCCAAAGCAACTTATATCAAGTGGTTGAAGTAGATGAGATGAATGAGGAGGCATATATAATGGAATAATCTTCCTCTCAGTGCAGAAATGATCGAAACTTGCAGTTGCATGGCTGCTATGGCCATCAAGAATCAAAAGGCGATATCTGCCAGCAGTCTGAGAGGCAGTATGCTTCTCAAACATCTCCTGAAGCCATTCAAATCCCAAATTATCATTTGTCCAGCCATTATCACTCATGCTAATTCTGTATTCCTTTGGAATAGCTGAATACCACTGAGATTGATGCCTTTTCCCGGCCAGGATAATCTGCGGAGGTAGAGCAGATCCGGAGGCATTTATGGTGATTATTATAGTAGTCCACTCGCGATTTCCAGGCTGGATAGATTTGACATGGCTATCTCTAGTCTCTGAGCCACAGATGACCTTTGCAGTTGATGTTACTCCCATTTGAAAGCCAGATTCATCCATATTGTATATATCCTGCTCCAGAATGCCATATCTTTCGATGGTCTCTCGAACGCGATCAAACCAGCCGTTTATCAACTCAGGATCCTCGCATTTGGCACGTTGGTAGTCATATCGGCGGGTATATTTAGATTTGAGCTCAGGACGGCGTTTAATATACCGGTTAACCCATAGCTCACCAATGGTCGCTTTCTCGGACGATTTTAGACGTGCGGATAGGAGTAATTGGGCAAGATGATGGACATTTGATATTTGGAGAGGTAGGCCACGCTCATACATATCTAGAATCCATCTAGATAGTGTATCTTCTTCAAGTTCTGATAATTTCCGGCCATTTGCAGTGGATTCATTGCGGGAGCGGACTCCATTCAGGCGTTTCATTAAGGTTCTTGATGGCACATCAAATGCTTGTGCACAGGCAGTCTTAGATTGAAACTGGCCTTGATTAAAAGCATCAATAGCTAATTTCATCCGCTCTTCTTTAGAAAGCTCATTCATGATGGATAATTTGGTGAAAAGTAGGTTTGAAAATATGGGTGTAATCTTCAGTGGAAACCGCCGCCGACCGCGCCTTTCGGTGATATGCGCCTCTCGGTGATAGATTACGTTACCGGTCATTTGTTACACACAAGTATATGTATATCTTACATTGCTACTCCACACAGCATTTTCGATTAAAGTGAGGTCGATATACATATACCGTACCTTACATCCGATATCTCCATATCCTGTGACAAAGTACTGCCCCTGTGTACGATCATACGTATGTATATCGTCTTTATACCCAATTCCAGCGTAGACAACGATCTAACTTCGTATGCCGTCTTCATTCCCGGTGCCCGGTACAATAGACGAACAATGGGGATACGATATGGTCAATGCTCTCTCGTGTTCCTGTAGCGATTCAGGAACTGGATGATGCCCGGTTATACATAGCATTCACCATCGAAGCGGGATTGATCTACGTATACAAAGTACCAAAGCGTATATCAGCCTGTACCCAATTCGCGAATAAAAATACGTATTTTAACTTTATTTGATGATGTTCATATCTGGGATCGGACCGGGATACGATATGCTCAATGCATTGTGAGAGGGACCAGGGTGCGGTTACTGACTCTATACGAGTTCAGCCACATGACAATGGCACTGTAACTACTCCGTACTATTGCATGATAAATATCCTCACATCACCAGAATATCCTAATATCCATACAGAGCACGCGCCGTGGCCCTGCATAGAAATTTTGTAGTTCATAGAGTATTTAAATTTAATTTCAAGAGTTGTCTATCTTTTGTGCACCTTCCTACAAGAACACACAGAACACGCCCACGTACTCGACTTATCTTGGCATGAACGGCGATAGTATGTCCCCTTAACTACATCTACCCCTGCGTCTTTGTCTCGTATGTGTGTGCTATGTATAGACATTATCCTCCGTGCGGCGCGGGCTGTACGACTCGTGCACGCCCTATTGATGAGCTTGTAGATCTACGGGGTAATATCTTGACCTCCAATTTATATGACGATATGTTTAGGTGCGTATGAGGGGTCGCATTGAACAAAATGCAAGACCGTCGATACACAAGTTGCGAACTGGAGACACGCCTTAATCCAGGCCACCAGATATGCCTGTCCAAAAGCAACACGATGACTGACGCCATCCCAAATCTCTAGAATCACCAAACGGGTTAGGATCGCAAGAGAATAAACCCTACTGCCGTCGATCGTGCTTGACGACGGTTCTTTTAGAGAAGCCCCCGTATAACTTCTCCAGCTGAGCTCCTTTTTCACGTAAGCCAATTCATTACCCCCCTGAGACGCTGCCATCCTATGCCCCTTCTCGTCCCAATGATATAACAAGAGCGTCAAACTGTGCTTGGGGATTTGCTCGTAGACTGTATATAATTTTTCTTGGTTCGTCGCAGTGAGAATAAGCCACCCCACTGCAACACCAGTATCCGCATCTGTTTCCAATTCGCTGGTACCAGACAAATTCACCTGCTTGTTTTGATAAAAATTTCGCAGACGTGAAGAGCTTGTGTGCACACGATGACCCTCTTAGGCGCTCACACTTTCTGAATCAAAGAATGAGAAAATCTCGCGCCACTATCATCCAGGTCTCCAGTATCTTATCGTTGTTGTAGCCCCAAATCTCGTCAAGAGAACAAACCTCTATTGGAGGAACGGATTTCATATTTGCTGTTTTAGCAGCAGCATGCTTGCAAGTGGTCGACAGATAGGGCTTTCTTGCTTTTGACTAGCGGAAGGAGTGAGTGGCCTTGTGGATAGACAGATCATAGCACAGTTATGCGAGGTTGCCAATGGAAATGTTGGATCAGGTGCTACTGGGAGATAAGACAATCGAGACTTCCTACATGTAATTGTCTTCACATATCTTTATGCTGTTTCCAATCCTAGTCGATGATATTAATATATAAAGAGAAGGTTCTATACAATCAGATATCAAGACAACGAACAGACCAGTATAAATAAGTGCCGTAATACCTTTTGTAGGGAAGAGGTTGGGGGCATGACTGGTAAGACGCTATTATCTCATCTACCAGAAGATGTACTTAGGTATATATATCCTAGGCTAGAATGTCTCTGAATTGCAGAATGAATATAGGGCAACCTGCCGATCATTTGCTTGCAAAACAGGTTACACATAGTGAACACGAGTGCTGGCTGAGCTAGAGTTGAGACTATCGTTTTCGACGCCATGTGCTGGGTACGATGTCTGGCTACAACGCATATTCGCATTTGGTATCATACTACAATAATGGTATAAACTACAGAATCGTGAACAGGGTATTGCGAACCATTGCATTCATTGGTCGACTTATTTTTAAACAAATAACAAAAATTAAAGATCAGACATCCCTTTTATCAAAACCCATTTAGTCCTCACGAAGAGTCTTGACGAAAGCACCAGAAGCCCGCTCAGGCTTGCCGTGCTCAACACCCTGCTGACCGAGTTTCTCCTTGGAGAAAGCAGCGGCGTAGGGGTTGAGACGGAGCATGACCTGCTTGTTGCGGAGAGGGTTCTTCTTCTGGACACCCTCACGCTTGGTGCGGGCGTTACCCTTGGGGGCGTTGAGGACCGACTGGATTTCAGACGAGTTGATGAGACGGGTCAGGTCGGCGTTGGCGACAACGTTCTGGGGCAGGAGGTAGTCCTTCTTGAGGGCGGAGGGGGTGGAGGTGGTGCCGTAGACCTGGTCAAGGGCCTGGAAGGCGGCGGAAGACCAGACGATGAAGCGGCCGAGGTGACCACCGGGAGCGAGCTGGAGGAGGTTGAGGGCGTGAACGGAGCAAGTCTCAACACCGGGGATGTTGCGGAAGGCACGGACGAGCTCCTTGCCGTCGGTCTCGGGGTTGTAGATGACAAGGGGACCGCGGCGCTGGCGGAAGCGGCGGTTACGGAGCTTACCCTTACCGGCGCGCATCTTCTTGGACTGCTGGACCTTGGCGAGGTCGGAGCCAGCACCGAGGGCCTGGAGGAGGGCAATGGCGGCCTTGGTCTTGGTCAGGGAAGCACCCTCGAAGGTCTTGGAGTCAACGACCAGGGGAACCTCGGGGACGTTCGCGACACGGTGACCGCGGGCGAAGAGCAGAGCGGGGACGGAAGAAGCAGCGAGGGCAGAGGCGGTAGCGAAACGTCTATCCAGGTTAGCTCCCCTATCTTTTTTCATTCATTCCTAAAGTCAAACACACCTCTGGCCAACGTTGATCTTCTGGTGCCACTTTCTCCAGACCTTAGTGGGAGCGAACATACGACCCGAACGGCACTGGTTACCGAAAGCAGCCTGACCAGCACGGTGAGTACCACCACCAGAGACACGGGGGATACGAGCGACAGCGCGACCTATCATAATCATCAATATCCGCCTTTCTCCCGTCATTTTCAACTTTTATAGCCAAACAAACATACCGGTACCCCAAGACTCAGCAGAAGTCTGTTCACCAGCCTTCTCGCTCACGGCGTAGGGCTGTCTCTTGTTCTTCGCCATACCGGTGTGAACCTGCCTATAGCCCTGTCAGTCTCCTTTTCCTTCCTTGCTCCCCAGCATTATCCCCCGAAACTCAAATTTCTCCTCCCAAAGACAGAACAGCGGGTTGCATACTGGACGATATCGAGACGAATGGGCGAAGTGAAAACAGCCGGCAGGGGGTGCGAAGCCCCGCTGGGCTTGCCATCAGCCGTGGCGATAGTGACGGTAGGGCGGGATGCCATTGTTGTCGGTTGTCGTCGTTTCTTGTTGCTGCTCTTCGACAAAGGCAAGAGATTTCAACAAGAGGAGTTGAAGATCGCGACGGGCGGTGGTGCAAATTTTCGCTTGCCATGGGTGGGTCCCATTGAATTTGGATGTGGGTTTTGTGGGAAGCCCTGAGCCCTGAAATACTTCTTTTTTGGGTTACCGAGTGCCAAGACTTTATACTACGGAGTATACAACATAGAGCGTAGAGCGAGAATAGGCTATGTTCATGCTTGGCCATACGTAGATTTCGTAAATATACAGGACAATATCTTATTAAAGCCTGGTTTATCTGATCGGATGTACTAGTTCTGGAGGTAGCTTGGGTGGCACATACAACTATGGAGTACAGAGTACACGGATGGAGTCTCCGTACTCAACAACATCGGGAACAACAGCTGTAGAGCTTCATACAGCGTATTCCGTACTCAATTTGCAGATATCTTACTTCATATAATGCGGCCATTGCTCTATCAGCTCGAAAGTCTACAGGTATAAGAACATTACAAGAACAGATATGCGAATGAATCATTCTATTGGCTGGAGATCATACGCAAGTCAGGCCACAACAGACAGAACTCCTAAAGCCATGCCATGCAAATCTTTGCTCTCCACTCAGTTGAAAAGTACATACACGAAGGAACAAAAGGGGGTGTCATCATGAAAAAAAAAAAAAAAAAAAAAAACCGACGAAAAGATAAGTGAAAAAAAGGAGTGTAAAAAGGGTCCATCGCCGCCAGACGGCTACGGAAACGAAGCAAGTAAAAAGAAAGTCGTTAATATCTGAACCGGCAGATATGGTAAAGAAGCGGTTTTTATTTTTTTTCATGCGTGGCGATGACCACCGTGGGCACGCTTTCCGAAACGCATCGAGTTCATGCGAGGCTTCAACTTGGAAGCTTGGACACCAAGGTCGGCGCTCACACCAACGGTGCATGAGACACCGGCAGCCATCTGCTGAGAAACGCCCCATTCAGTGGTTTCAGCATCCTTTTGCACACATTGCTGGTAGCTCGAGCCGTCGAGACAGTTGTATTGGCCCAAGGTGCACGAGCCGGATGCGCCAGAACTGGAGCTGGAGCTGGAGGCTGAACTAGAGCCGGAGCCAGAGTCGGAGCCAGAGTCGGAGGAGCCGGAGTTAGAAGTAGAACTGGAGCTGGAAGCGCTAGACTCGGCAGCCGGAGCAGCAGACTGGGTGGGAGCTGGAGCGCTGACCTCAGAAGCAGAAGCAGCTTGAGGAGCATAAGCACCACCAGTAGGAGCAGAACCACCACCGAGACCAAGACTGAGACCAAGAGAGGCACTGACAACGGGGCTGGGCTCGGAGCTGGCAGACGAGCCCGAGCCGGAGCTGGAGCCAGAGCCGATGCTACCGCCCTCACCACCAGAGAAACTGGCGGAACCCGTGCAAGCACTCTCGCCCTCCTGCATGAGTTGGCTGGCTTGGCCGAGTTTCACAACATCATCACCGGGCTTGGGGAAGCGAATGTCGACGCTCTCTGGTGTAGTACAGCCGTTGACGTTGGCGACGAACATGCCAGGGTAGTTGGTGGAGCGCTTCTCCTCCTCGGAACGCTTGGAGGATGAACCGCCCTTGACGGTGATAGGTGCACAGTTCATGTACATCTCACGGTTTCCAACACGGTTAAACCAAGTCCAGGCCATGGTGTATTTCCCAGCATCGATTTCGGGAATGGTGAATTTAAGACCAGGGTTGTCGATCTCGTTGTTGGCATTTTCCGGCAGGTTACCCGTGGTATCGACAGGGCAACCACCTTCGAAAGACTTGATGACGTACCAGTTGGATTGCTTGGTGGGTTTCTCGTCGGTGGACAAACTGATTTGGCATGAACCACCACCGTGAGTGGCACTACCCTTGAGTTTGAGTTGCACAGATTCACCGACGCTGTAGATGTTTTCCTGGCTGGGCGCATCGTAGTTTGTAGCCTTGCAAGGAAAGTTGCTGCCACTGGCGTCCAAGGGAGAGTTGGTCAGGTCGTCTGTGAATGGGGCAGGGTTGGTCATGACCAAGTGAGCGTTGGCGGCTGACGCACCCAAGAGGGCGGTAGCCAAAACACTCATTTTGAAGACCATCTTGACGAGACGTGCTGTATTTTTTCTTTTTTCTCGAGGTTTCGATTTGAAATTGAATCGTTCGACAGTTAAAGATTTCTGATCGTACCAGACGAGTCAGAAAGGCAAGTAGTAGAGACCGGACGGACGTTGACAGAGCGCGAGACAGAAGATCAACTATGGGAGTAAGGTTAGCATGACATGAAACGAAGAGAGGCGGATACGACCAGTTTTATGTTCTCCCTGAGGACAGTCTTTGTTGGGTGTCTGAATGCCGCACAATGAAGCTCGGAGCATACAAAGACAAAAGACAGAAGACAAACGAAAATGAAGACGGAGTAAGGGTACAATACCTTTATCTGCTAGCCACGGGCAATGAAAGGCTCTTTTGGAGGATTTCTAGTCAAAGGACTGACGGAATCTGCCACAGGCAAAAGCCACACACGAGGGAGTGATATTGTAAGGATAGAAAAAATGCAAAGATGCAATAATGAAAGAAACAGGAACTAGCCCGTATGAAAACAGTCGAACGATGCAGGGTGAAAAGAAAAAGGATTGAAGGCGCTCCAGCGTGGGGAAAGAAAGAGGAAAAAGAAGAGAAGTGATGGTGGCAGGAAAGGGGGTTATATAGACAACAGCTCCCGTCTGTACACTATAGTAAGACTAGTACTCCGTACTCTTTTTACTGACATTGAATGAGTCTCCACAGTGGATTGACTTTTGCTGGGATGTTTCAGAATAAACGCTCATCCCTTCCGCCGGGCCTGTGAATGGCTAGTCTCCCCTCTATACAGTCGCCGGCATAGCGCTCGCTGAGCCACTCATGTCGCACCATCAGCCGGTGCCTGGATGAGCCGGCGGTTACTCAATATAGCTACAGAGGACAATCGTATTGTCTGACTCGATCTATGCGAAGAATATTCTGTATGGATGAGTAGACGCCTACTTTGTACAGGTCTCAGTGCAATTACTTGTACGGTGTGCTCCATACCCATAGTGACTGACAGTGTACACCGAGTAAATACCCACTTCAGCCACAACGCCGCCGGGATGTCTTATTTCCCAGCCGAGCCAATGGTAATTTCCGCGTGGTCCAACATTATTCAGTCGATCGGTGGCTGCTTGCATTACTATTTTTTGATTGGGCCGTCATTCCTTTCTTCTTTCACATGGGGGTCGGAGCTAGCCTGTATTCCGCGCACAACGCCCAGGGGCAAAAATTGGGACAAAAAAAGAGATGTCTCTGATATTGCCGCACTAGAGAAGTATATTCTTCTAGAATAACGGTGCAGTGGCAATTATACATTTGCCCGATCTATTTTTGCGAATTTGTATGCTTGCGCTCTATTCAGCTAGCATTCAGAGTACCTACGGAGTACAGCTCTCTGTACAGTGACGGTACCCGGCAGGAACTCCCACTCATACAGCCAAACCATGGTTCCCCTCTCCGCATCCGACCCATTCAGCGCATTCCCTGGTTCTCCATCGCTGCATATGATCCTCTGATTGCTCAAGACCCGGTGGGTTGGTGATGCTCGTTTCAGATACATCATTACTGCAGGCTTAGCCTTGACTCCCTTTTGCCGACGGACTGGCCGGTGATTTCTGTCATTTCCATTTGGACCGTGTCAACTATCGAATTGTAGACTCGATGTATACTCGCACGTAACAACAGACTGGGAAGCACGGCTGACGCGGTTGACCGAAATTATCTACAGGTTGTAGTGTTATTTGCATTTGGGCTGCTTTGTACGGGTTCTTTGTGTCCAGGTGCATTTCGCATTCTGTACATGTGCCGAGTACGGATACGTACTGGTAGTCGACGCCTAGATCCATACACTTTTGACAGGTCTGTTCGTGATCGGATGAAACACCCCTGATACTCATGGACCATTGTTCCTGCCCATCCGGATCCTTCTGGATGCAGCGCAGAAATACCACTCACTGGAATTACCGCTTCAGGAATGTCATGTTTGATCAAGCATACCCATATGGTTCGTTATCCTGCATGATTGGATCGGATCTGGTGCAACACACCCTGAAGCCTGATACCAATCTCATCATGGCATCGTACCCTGCTGCCGCGGCGGATGTGCCCGAGATCCAAGTCCAGCTGATTCGTATACTTGTAGCGCCGTGAGCGCCCAATCAATAGCACAAGCAGGCTATATCAGATAGACTATTGGGAAGAACGTTTGAAAACAGCGACAAAAGTACTGGTAAATGGCAAATCATTTTTTCCCCTTCTTCTTGCCCTTTTCATTCCCGCCATTCTCCTTCTTCTTATCCCACCCACCCCGAATCAACGCATCGCGCCCAACGGCGTTGATAATGCGAAACCGATCCGGGCCCAAGTGTATCCCGCCGTACCACCTTGTCACGACCACCACGACATCCCAGACATCCATCAACTGCATGAGATGCAACAGTCGTCCTCCCGCAGCCGTCTCGCCGTCGTCATCACTGTCCTGCACTACCATTTCTTCTTCCCCACCTTTGCCGTTGTTGGCACTTCGTTTCTCTCTGATTCGCCATGCGCTGATATTGTGCGTCGCTGCTGCCACTTTCTTCTCGGTCGCGAGCAGGTGGTCCAGGTATGCTTGTGCTTGTGCAAGATTGGTGACATACGCTGCGCGCCCGACAAATATCGATTTCTTTTCCGTCACAACCTCAGACAGGATCCAATCAGGCGGACTATCGATTCCGAAATTCTCCCGTAGCGAAAGTGTAGCGAATTCCTCCGGCGCAAGGTCATTCGTAGCCGTAGCCTCCTCTTCCATCTGTTCTTCTTCGTCATTACCACCGATACTCAACTCCTCAAACGCTTCCACGGTTTCATTGATAATATCAAAGAGACAAACAGCCCCAGGTTGATGTATCCTGCTCACAATATCCTCCACCACATCCACCGCGATCTTCCCCTCACCGCGCGCGCTCGTCGAAGCAGTCCCCAGAACCCTTGGTCTTGTCTCCGGATACGAATTTTCGAACCCGATGATAAACGATAAAGTCGGATGGTTCGGAAGCTGTAATTTGATACTCGATGCGATCGGTGCCGCGGAGCCAGCGCTACCCAGGTCCAAAGTCGCAGTGGTAGTGGCAGCGGGGGTGCTGTTTATGATGACGGTGCCGGGGTCGTAGATGGCATTGATAGCTTCGATTTCTTCGGCAAGATCGGGGTTTTGGAGGGAGTCGAGGGAGGGCATTTTGGCGTAGGCTTTGACATTGGTGTGTGGTGTATTGTTGGATGTGCTTTGCTTCATGTGCTGAGCTTCAGAATCTTAGCCCCGCTGAGAACCACGGTAAAGCGCTCATATAAATTGCTCGGTGATTGTTGGGTAAGCAATGGCCGGCTGGCCTAATGGTAAGGCGCTTGACTTCGAATCAAGAGATTGCAGGTTCGAGCCCTGCGTCGGTCACGCTTCTTTTTTCTTCTTTTTTCTTTTCTTTTCTTTTTTTCTTGGCTATCTCTTGCCCTTTCTCGTTTTATGTTTAAGAAATTTCATGGATTTTTCATTTCAAATGAAAAATTTTTAATATATTTTCTCACTCTCGCATCTCATTGATCTAACACGGTGTACATGCAGCAAAATGCGCAGCCCGATATCGGTAACCAGGTGCATAACTAGCGAATCTATGAACAGCCAGACCACCGAATACCGCATACTCGTTATCCATGATCCATGGTATACTCGACTACCAGGCGATGCATCTGTTTGCCTCTTTGCCTCTCTTTTTAGGTTTATCTTTGCCACAGGAACTTGGGGGCACTTGGAGACGGATGCAGGTACAGCGGGCTCAGACCACTGGAGTCGGACGTACCTGAGAGTCTATCAAGTCCTTATGCCCAATGCTTTATGTCTACTTTTGTCCAAATTGATAAGAACAATCTACTTTGTACAACGACCGAATATCACTCCTAAATCACTATAATAGTCAGAATATAGTCTGTAATTGCTGGATCGCTCCCTGAAGATCGTGGTTACAGATCTGGGGAAATCTCCACTTTGTATCCGACCCATTTACGTACCTGCGCCTCCAAGAGTCAAGACTCTCCAAAAGCTGCCCCTCCCCCAGAAAGTCGAAAAGACAGCCAGACTCAACAGCCCGAGCCTCCAACCAAAGGCTACCATGGGATGCATTTGTTTGCTGGCCACTCGTCGTTGTTCCAGTTGTCTTGCTGATTCAGCGTGGCATACGCAGCATTGCCGTCACCTGATTGGTTGTTTATGCCTCAGTCAGCAACCGGTTTCTGACCTTCGTCTTTAGGCTGTCTATCTTCTTTTCTTTTGTCTCTCTTTCATCTCTCTTTTTTCTTGCTTATTCCTGCTCCCCTCTTTTATCCAGATTATGTTTACGCTTACTCAGGGCGGTTAGTTGTTGCTTACAGTCATTTTTCAGCCCTGCCACCCATTGTCATCTCAGATCTCCGTTTCCGTTAGTTCCGCCGCTTTCGATCCTACCATAAATCACTGATATCTACGAACTCCTCATCGCTGGCTCGATTGATTCACACTGCTCTTTTTGATTTAGACGCCTCACGATGTACGGCGAAGGCAACGTCGAGTCCAGGGTGTATATCCCTCCGCTTCTTGATGCCGAGGAAGATCGTTCCGCTGATCCCGACGCTTCCGAACAGCTCCTGCGCCCGCACGATGAGGAATCAGGCCCCAACTATCTCCCCGTCTGGCTACAGGAGTCTTCCAAATCGTTCCACTGGGGCTGGGTACCCTTGCCCTTGAGAAAGGTTGGCCGTGCTACGGCAAACTGGGTCAAGGGTCCTATTCCGTCTCATCCGTTGTTGCTGAGCCGTTTGTTCCCGCAGTTCCAAGAACTCCCGGTTCGGTACCTGGAGCGGTTTTTTCCTAAGCGGAAGCATAAAGTTTCGTTGCTATTGGGGCTTTATGTGACCTGGTTTCTACCGTGGTTTATTGTGCTGTTGCATTCGAGGTCGTCGGGGTATATTGAGGGATATGGAGCGCCGCAGACGCTTGCGTGTGATACTACTCTCTGGTGAGTCTACAATTTGAATCTTGTTCAAGGTGCAAGAAGCTAATGACAACAGGGAATTCGGTAATGGCTGTGGTCTCAACGGCAATGACTGCCGTCCCTTTACTGCGTCGAATGTCCCATTCCGCTGCCCTGCGAACTGCCGTTCTGCGAAACTGACGACGCCTCATACCGTTGGGAATGAAACATACAACTACCAACCGCTCGTTGTCGGGGGTCCAGATCCGGAGACTTCTTCTCCAGCAACGTATCGGGCAGATAGTTTCGTCTGCCAAGCTGCCATCCACTCTGGCGCCATCTCGAATTCTGTCGGGGGCTGCGGTGTCGTTCGTCTTGAAGGCGCGACACATAAGTTCCCTGCGTCTAAGCAGCATGGTATCGTGTCATCTGGTTTCCCTTCGACGTTCCCGAAGTCGTTTACCTTTGTCGATCTATCGTCGTCGCAAGCTACTTGTCCCAAGGATCCCAGATGGCCGCTTCTGGGCGTCACGGCTGCTGCCGTTGTCGTTCTTTGGCTTTTCTGTACCTCCCCGCCTGTTTTGTTTTTCAGCACTTTCTTCATGGTTTTCTCCCACACAGGCCTGGTGTCGGACCCGCCGTCGTATCCCTATTTTGCCGATCTGGCGTCCGCGTTGCTGTCGCGGATGCTGCCGGCGTCATTCGTCGCATATGTTCTCTACAAATTTTGCGCGCAGCCTCTATTGGCTCCGCTTTCGTTGCCCGATTATCAGTTCACCAAACTGTTCCTCTACTTGCCACCGCTATTCTTTGCCGCGCTGAATAACTACACTTTTGCCAAGTTGATACCTCTGGAGCGTCTTACTCCCCATGACATCCAAAAGCAGCCAGGGGCAAAGTTTGCTTTGGCCATTGTGATTCCGACCGTGATATGTATCATTCTCAGCCAGGCATGGCAAATCCGCCAGGGTGGATTGATGCCGCGGTATCTCAAGATCTATGGCACTATGGGTATTATCCTCTTGATTCTGCTCCCTTTGCCCGGTCTCCGTCTTCGGATTCACCACTACATTCTTGCTATTCTTCTTATGCCGGGAACTGCTTTCCCTACTCGTCCGTCATTGATATACCAAGGTCTGCTTCTGGGTCTCTTTATCAACGGTGTCGCTCGATGGGGATTTGCGTCGATTATTGAGACTCCCGCTTCCTTGGGTGAAATTGCTCCTGGCCCGGTGGGGCCGCACGGCTGGTGGGGTGCCACCTACCCCAACATCACGGACTCTTCTGTCCTGATCCACCTACCTGACAGAGACTCTGGTGAGGAATACCGCGGCAATGGCAACATCACCTTTGCTCTATGGGAACACGAGCGCATGGCTAAGTTTGGCGTTGACGGTGTGTCCGTCCTCGTCAATGACGTGGAACGCTGGAGGGGATACCTTGACGAGGACAAACAAGGCGAGTTCACCTGGCACCGTCACGGTCACAAGGGTCTGGAAATGTTCCATCAGTCTACTATCGAGGATGATGCGGAGCCGGACCAGTTTGGTGTCAATACGGCAGATGAACTGGATGACGATAACAAACCTGAGGATATCTTCTTCCGCTTTGCTTTCCTGAAGGGTGCTGAAGCGGGTGGTTATGGCGGTGCTGGGGTTTGGCTCAGTGATGGGACGTGGGTTTCTGCTGATCCTCCTGAAATATAGACCGTTTTTCTGCGTTACTGGATTTCACTGTTTTCAGTCTTCTAGCTATTGCGAGACTTGACTAGAGACTACTATACCCCAGTATGGGGTGGATGACCACCTGGTGTGGTTGGGTATGGGCGTTGATGCTGGTTTTGTTATTTTTTCTTCATTTCTCATGATTTATGATGAATTGAATGGTATTCTTGATATGTGCATACATTCCGTAGAAATATCGTTTCGTAAGGCAACTCACAACCACCCCTTAAAATCAATCAACGAAAGATCCTCCTCCAATAGCCCCATCATGTACTGATTTCCCGAGAACCAATTCCCCAACTGCGTCCTCTGCGACACTCCACCCTCAATCACCACATCTGACATTTCATCTGCACCTGTACCACTACCACTACCACCATCAACAGCACCATCTCCAACCCCCGGCGGCGCCAACCCCAACGCACTCAAATACACATCAAACTCCTGCCCCACACTCGCCAGGACCTCATCCCCGCCATTACTGCTACCCTGTCCCCTCGCAGCCTGCGCTTTGGCCTCAACGTACAACTTCGCCACAGAGCACAGAACCTGGCATAGCCTGTGCAAGTTAGCGATGGCCTCGGAGTGCGCGGTTAGTGGCCGCAGGGAGAGGACGAAATCTGTTAGACGGGAGAGGTCCGCCACCCCTCCACTGCTGTCGTTGTCATTGTCGTTGGTAGGCGACCTGCTAGTATGAGGGGTTGGTGCGTTGGCGATGGGAACTTCGAGGATGTGGCAGATGAGTACTATAAACGGGATAAACGGCGCGTAGAAAATCGTCCAGTGCATGTAACTGCATTTCATAATCTCATTACTCTCCTTGATACTCATCATGCAGTCCTGGTGTGCTTGGAGCGCTGCACGAGCTGTCTCGATGCAGTCGTGTGTAAAGGCGCTGGGGGAATCGGGGGAGGGCGGGATTGCGCGGTAGATTAGGGTGAGAACGGAGAAACGGCTGACGCAGTCAGATTTGAGGTAGTAATCTTGGAGTTTGCTGAGAGTGTTATTGTGGTTGGTTGTGAATTTCTGTATGTCCGGTTAGTTGAGTTGGTAGGGTAGAGGAGGGGGAGGAGGGGGAGGAGGGGGACACCTTGAATGGATCCATGACAGTACACTGCATCTCCTCCGCTAACTGTCTCGCATGGGACACACGGTCTTCTTCAGGCTGCGATAGCGCAGCCGGGCTATACAAGAACTCATAAACCTTTCCCTGAATCTTCGCGAGCCTGATCCACAATTTATGAATGGTCTTCCACGGTTGCACGACGTTGGATGCCTCAAAGTTCATAGGGAGGGAGATATCATAGTCCTGGATTGACGATGAACGTCCCAAACGCAGGGAGAGTGCCTTGTCCAGACAGTAGATCGACCAGAAGAGGCCCATTTTTTCTTGTTGGGTGGATGGAGTGTCGTGCTCCATTGAGGAGGCGCGGTGGTAACCGAGGGTTTGGCAGAGGCGGGCTGCGGTTGATGTTAGGGTCCAGGCAAAGGAGGGTTTGGAGATTTCGATGGCGTGGATGGTCTGCTTCCTGTTAGCTGCCTGAATGGTTGATTATGGTAATGGGGGAGGAAGAAGTACTCCTAGAGCAAGAGCTTCGATGGATTCTGCCCGTGGGGGCATTAGGAGGTTCAGGTTGACAAGAGCTGTTTCAAGGTTGTTACGGCAGAGGCTGAGGTATTTCTGGCATTCTTCTCTTGTCTCGTGGTCTTTGGCCATGAAGCTCCATTCGATGAAGACATTGTATAGACCTCCATTGACTACGATGAAGGTAGCATCTGAGTACTCGTCGATAGCAAAGTATACCTCACGACACTTTTGGACAAATTTGTCAACGGAGATAAACGGGAAGTATCCCTCAAATATCGTCGGTGGACTCTCTATCCAAACATCAGCAACACAGCAAAAGAAACAAGAATGAGAAGACTAACCTTTAACCCACCGACACAACCTTAACACCAACTCCATCGGCGGCATCGCCAAATCCCGCAACCCAGTCCCCCGAATTGTCTTCTGATTCGGCAACCTGACCTCCCGCGAACTTGACGGATGCGCTTGATGATCTTGCATACTCACAATCTGTTTGAGCGTCGACAGTGCTGCCCCAATTCTCGGACTGGATACTTGCAGTGCGCTCTGCGAGACTGCTGTCTCAAGGAACTCGCTTGCGTAGGCGGAGTGCGCTGCCATTGAGGAGTTGCCTTCGAAGGGACTGGATTCGTGCTGGTCCAACGCTGCTGCAGTTGTTGTGCGGGATGGGTAGTTTGACGGAGTGGGGGTTATGTGAATTTGTCTTGGTGTAGTTGTAGGGTGGTATGTTAGTTCATTTGGGACAGCAGCAGGAGCAGCAGGAGCAGCAGGAGCAGCAGTTGTGGTAGATGTTATGGTAGACTTAAGATCACGGAGGGATACCTCGATGCTCCCAAGGCGCTCCTCGATTAGGTCGATCTTCTTCTCACTGTATGGCATCAACACCATTATATCATCTCATAATTAGAAGCAGGTTAGGCGTACTATTGACTAGAAATTAATACCCTCCGCCGCGGCTCCGGAGGCTTCTGTCCTGCTCCCGTAGAGCGACAGACTATCTTGGATGTTCGGCAATTTGCGCACGGTGTGCGTTTATCACAGCGGATCTACAATATATATAAGATTGTTCGTCTAGATTTATCAATTGGAGGTTTGTGTACCTTTCGTAGTCGACATTGATCACACTAGAACTGTCAGGTCTGATAGATGTCAATGGCAGAGCCACTTACCGCACGGCGTGTGTCTTGCGTTTCTCTGGGCTGCTCGCTCTCGGGTTCCTCGGGTTCCATTGCGACTAACACGGAGTGGTTTGATCAAGGCTATCAAATAGAGTGGAGGCTTCATTGTGTAAGGAGGTTGGCGTTAGTGATGGCGAGAACCGATAGAGGACGTCGGGTCCCGAGGACTCCGATCACGGGACGAACTTACCCTGAGGTTTATACGAACATTTCTTCCTACTCTAGCACTGAATTTACTGCTGCTCAATGTGAATATCAAAAATTGCTTTTATTGGGGTATCAAGTATATAGCACAATTCTATATTTCATCAAACATGTATCATGAATATAGCGACAATGCAGAAAATCACTTTTTAATTCCAATCACAGCAAGATTCCTCGGACTCTCCGTGTAATCAAAAACCGGCTCAACCCAAGCATCCTTAACCTCATCATGTTCTCTCAAAAACTGCCACCGATCAACAACAATAACCGCCTCGATCAACGACGCACTAAATGCCATCAAACTCCACGTAACGCTGAGTTGTTTCTTCGCCTGCTGGAAGTCCTTCTCATAACGGTCCAGATCCTCCTCAGTAAGGCCTTCCATTCCGGCTCGGACCTTCTCTCCGAATTTCGGGTCGCGGGTGAGTTTCGCGGTTGCGGCACGTACGTACGCGCGGAAGGAGACGAAGGCGGCTTTACGGAGGGATCCTACGACGAGTGGATTTGCGGAATCCTCTTTGGAGGCGGGTTTTTCGTAGAGGTCTGTCGGGACGGAGGGTCTGGAGACGATATTGCGATCGACAAGGATACGCTGGAGGAGAGTGCGGTAGAAGTGGCGGGTAAAGAAGTTTTCGCTTTCGGGGCGGGACCAGTTGTAAGGGGCTTGGAGGGACATGGAGCGCGCGGTGATGTTTACTTTGACGCCTGTGCCACTGTCGTGCTCGAAGTCCTCGAGGCGCTTGGACATGGGGAAGCCGTGGGGGTCGTAAGCTAGGGCTTCTTTTGTGAGTCGGGGGTGGAGGGAACGGAGGATGGGGAGTTTGTAGGTTGCTGGACCAAGTCGTTCTGTGACAAGGTTGTAGCAGCAGCCGATCATGGCGATTGCTTTGACGGAAGGGTTCAGGACCAGGGAACGGACGCCGTGGTGGAGGAGGTTTCCGCATGAGTGGAGGGAAATCACCATGACATTGGGGTCCGTGGCGTCCTTGGTATTGTTCGTGAGTTGGGATCCTGATTCAGCGACTGGCGGCGATTCCACCACATCTTTGATGATAGGCTCTAGATACCCATCCTTGATCTCGTGTTCAATATAATCCATGGCACCGCCCGGCTTAAGAGATTCGACATCAACAACAGGCTTTTTAGGTTTGGGTGCGTGTGCACCCTTGTCGTCTGGTTTGAATCCAAACTCGCCTGGCTCAAGGCTAACATCCCGAAACACATTAACGACAGTGAGATCATCGTCGTCCCCGTTCACGGGTTCTGGTGCAATTTCCCCAGGAGTGCTCTGCACGACTTCCATCGTCCGCTGTGGCACATCTGGGTTTTGTACCTCCGGCTCCTCCGGCTCCTCCGAGTCTTTGCAGACCTTGCACGGATCTTCCTTTTTGTTGTTGTAGAAAACCACTTGTTTCTCAGACAACTTGGCATGCACGTCAAATCCCTTTGCGCCCCTAATATATTGGTGTCTCCTCTCAATGGCGATGATATGTCTGTTGTATGGTTGGCTCGCAAGGGTGCGTCCAAGATAGTTCTGGCCCGATCCGAAATCGACAATGTGGGAGATCCCCTCGCCTCGTTGTTTCGCGACGGTGTTACAGAGGGAGTCAACGTAGTCGGAGAAATGCGCCACCTCGTGGTATTTCTTCATATTCATTCCAACCGAGATGTGTTTGGGTATCGTGGGATTCGTGGATTGCGCGGGAACAAAGTCGCGGCCCAGACTCAATCTTCGGATTTGGTAGATGTACTCGACGAGATCTGTCGGTGGTAACGGGCCTCCATTCCAACCATCTTGCCCCTCCTCATTCGCAGACTCATTTAGATACCGATCCCGAAGCGCATAAATATCTTCTCTGAGCAAAAGGTGCAGAATATCCTGCATTTCATGTTTATCGAAGAATGTCCTCCATGATTCGGGCAACAACTCAGTATACAGATCGGGCTGCCGCGTCAAAAAATCTTGCATGTGAACACCCCCGCAGACATGTCTAAACAAATCCGACGAGGTAATAAAGGACAGGAGCTCATCGACGTAGGCATCCGGGTCCGTCCACTCCTCGCTGAGTGGTAGGGGCGGTTTCGGTGGCATGCGTCGTTTCGAGGATCGGAGGATGCAGGTCAGTTTCCAGAATACCGCAAACAAGCCTTGCACTTGCCAATTGTCAGAGACCCCCTGAGGCTGTAATAATAATAATAATAATAATAGTGTGACAGAAAAAGAAGCAAAGACCGTGGGGATAGCGTAAAAGTAGTGTCGAGGAGGAATATCGTGGGGAAAATCAAATTTTAGGAGATTACCACATGCGGTTTAGCTCCTCAGCGATCCGAAGCAGAACAACAACACCCGCACAGGAGGCTAGTACTAGTACTAAAAATGGCTATACAACGCTCACTGCCCGGGCAAATGGCTCATGACTGTGGTAGGAAGCCCCGGATTCCCATCGGATTCCCATGGCTTAGCTGAATGGTGAGAGGTTTCCTGTCAAAATAAGAGGGTCTGCCGTTGCACGTTTTGCAACGCCCTGAACAACAGACATTCAAGCAAAGACCACCGGCAGAAACAAACAACACACTGACCAATGATAAGGGATCGACTATTGAGAATTGCAGAATAATAGCATTCCGGTGTGATGGTGTTGTGATAGTCGAATTTGCGTCTTACAGCAGTACTTACGTACGCTTGTACCGCGTATTATCCAGCAAAATATTCGGCTACAGACAGGCATACGTGCAAAGGAATGTGCTCGCATGACGAAGCTAGTGGTCTTATCTGCGATTTCCTTGTGTTTCTGACGGCGTCATCAGGCCCCGACGATCATCGAACAGTGAGGCAAGGGCCGTTCATTCCAGTGAAAGGGGACCCCCCCTAAGCTTTGTGGTCTCCATCGCGGAGGATATACATAACCGCTATTGCCCCAGAGTCTCCATGAAATCCGTCTCGGTGGTGACCAGTTAAAGGACACTGATTTTCGATGCAGCAGTCTGTTCTGTATCCTGCATGCTCAGCCTATATCCTGGAAAGGTACTTAACGCGTCACACCGTCTGTACCTGATATATCATCCCACGGAAGATCCGTCTCCTTACTGCCAAGCTTTGCTTAAACCAACTGCTCGACAGGGGTACTGGAGATCATTGTTAAGCAGGAAGTCCCCGCCGGATTGACCTCATACAATCTCTACGGATTGAAAACAAGTTAGTCCGAAAGCACTATGGTAAGTTTGACGTCGTCGATAATCGAGATTAAGTCCATCGCCAAGGTTCCATGGAATTCAATAAGATCGGAGCCAAGCATTCGTGCTAATATCGAATTCCTCCGATCACTCAGATCATCTACTCAGATACGAGCGTGACACCGAGGCAGAAGCCTTTTGGCTCGGTGGCCGATGTCCTTTTTCAAATAATCATCAATGGGGACCTAGACATGGTCCCGACCCTCTGTCTCCTTAACAAAGCTACATATGACTTCATCAAAGTCCTCGAACCACATATCTGCGGTTGGTTCATGCGTCGACATCAAATCACAGGATTTGACCGTGTTCTTCGGCTGGATCGAAGGACAGGCCGTTCACGACCCTTAACAGTACATTCACTCCTGAGATTTGATCGTCGCCGGGATATTGCTCAACATATCTCCCATCACATTGTCCCTGCAGTATGGGGTCCATTCTCGGACGATGACGAGAATCTAGAAATGAACTTCGACGCAGAGCTATGCCTTGCGCAACGCATTGAGCGGGGCCTGTATGTTTTGTTTCACATGTCGGATATTGCTCGGGACATAGAAAGATCAAAACAACGAAGAAGAAAACCCTTAGCTCCTGTGGCAATAGGGCGATTAATAGCGCTGAGCCAGACATTCGACGAGTACGATGATCTGCCCGAGCAAAAGAGGCAATCGGTATCATTTGAAAACTACGCTGGCCACGTGTACAAGGTGCTAAAATGGGGCGCGACGGAAGCCGACATCGGTCGAAAGCGCCTGGAGTTTCGACGTCACCTGGGTAAAGAACGAGAAGTCGATCTCCACGTTGCTCTTCGCATGATGCGAGAGCGGACGGAAAAGATGCTCCTTCGACACGGACCCAGTGACTGGTTCCGTGACGCAAAAAACGAATACAGTGTGATTTCCTGGTTCCTCCTACGACAATCGCCACGGACATTGGAGAAGCTATTCCTCAGCGATCCAGACCAATGCTGCGATATAGAGGGGAAGCTGGGTATCGTAAACGAGGTACGGGTGTGCCATTTCGCCGACCCCCTGGACAACTACTGGAAAGCATGGAAGGAGGATCCTCAACTGGGATGCCAGGATTGTGACTGTAAGCGACGAGCACGCAGCTGGAGCGTGAAGCCGGCACTGATTGATGCTCGGGGGCGAGAACATAATATCGCTGCAGAGAAGTATCTCAAGGAGACGTGGAATCAGCGGCATGTTGGTCTTCATCGGGCGTTTATGACAGGGCAATTTACTACTTTTCTATAAGTTATATATACTAGAACAATCAATAACTACAATTATATTCTGTGCTGAGCATCCGCATTGAGTACCCATAATTATCACTGTTCCTATCCATAGATCGGTGATTGAGACCGCCAAGAATCCCGGAGTCGCGTTCAACCTCCGCCTTGAAACGGAGGTCCGTCCAAACACCTGTCTGTACACTTACCCATACCAGCTACATCATATGGTTTTCTCTTATAGCTACTCTAGATATTAACACCTTCATATCAACTCAGCATGGACCCCTCAGACCCCTTCCTCCAAGTTCAAGGGTGAGTCTCCCCACCCCATCCCTATCAACCCCCGTTCCAACAACCAACTAACCACCAAATCCCAACAGAGATGTCCTCAATTCCCTCCAAACATCCCGCCCCCTCTTCTCCTCTTACCTCCGCATTCGCTCACTGGCAAAATCCCCCCAAAACCCCGAACTCCAACAAGCGCGCTCCGAACTTGAAACCACCCTCTCCGAACTCAGCGCCGACCTCGACGACCTCGTTGAAAGCGTCCGCGCCGTCGAACTCGACCCCTACCGCTATGGCCTGGAACTCGAGGAAGTCTCAAGACGACGAGGGCTAGTCAGTGATGTCGGGAGGGAAATCGAGGAGATGAGAGCAGAGCTGCAGAAGGCTATTACGGATACAACTACAACAAAACCGGGGGGGACGGGGGATAGTAGGCTACCGCTACCGGAGGACTTCGATCAGGATTTACCACTTGAGGAGAGGGATGATGATTACTATGCTGCGATGGAGGAGCAGCGGCAGGCGGAGTTGATGCATGAACAGGATGAGCAGTTGGATGGGGTGTTTCGGACGGTTGGGCATTTGCGTGATCAGGCGAATGATATGGGGAGGGAGTTGGAGAGTCAGGCTGTTATGTTGGGGGAGGTTGATACGTTGGCGGATCGGGTTGGGGGGAAGTTGCAGGGGGGGATGTCGAGGTTGAAGCATATTGTGAGGCAGAATGAAGGTGAGTATTCTCTTGCAATTGTTTGCTACGATGGGATATGCTGACTTGACTGATATAGATACAATGTCATCCTTTTGTATTGCGGCACTTATTTTCGTTCTCGTTCTATTATTAATTTTGATCATTGCTCTATGAAGCTATCATGGCAAACATAACTCGGGGCATAGGGGTCATCAAGGTTTTTGTTGTTCTTCACGTGGGAGGAAACATGACTCGGGGTACAGGATAACGGGGTTATCAAGGTTTTTTTAATCTTTGCGTGAGAAAATCTGTCAGAAATGGCGTTCAACGTTTAGACTCTGGTCTTCTTACGGGGGCGCGACTCCTCATCATCATCGTCCTCCTCGTCATCCCAGTCTTCATCATCGAGCTCTTCGAGGTCCTCGGCGATCTCGTACGATTGCACTATTATCAGTCAGCCATTGCTCTACTCTCGACAATGCCAAGGGTACCTACCATAGTACTTGAGGGCGTTGGGCCAGAGGTCTTCGGCGATGGAGATGGCGAGATCTTCACCATCGGGGAAGACCTCGGCAAATTCGAGGTCATCCTCATCGTCGTCGTCATCATCCTCGTCATCATCCTCGTCTTCGACAGCCTCACCCTTCTGAATTTTAGCCCAGCGCTCCTCCTCGTCCTTGACACCCTGCTTGGACTCCTCAGCGGTAACACTGCGTCCACGGTAACCGAAGAAAGCGAAGAAGCTAGCGCCAGCGGGGCTCTCGGGGTCCTCGTCCTCGTCGTCCTCAGCAGCGGCAGCGGCGGCCTCGGTCTGAACCTCAGCAATCTTGTTGACAAGCTTCTCGAACTCAGGCAGTTCCTTGCGGTCACCACCCTTCTTCTCAGCCTCTGCAAGGTCACAGGCAGCATCCAACAGACCCTTGGTCAGGTCCTTGCCCTCCTTCCAGTTGATACGGACAGGCTCCGAGACCAGACCCTCCCAGGTGCGCCTCTTGCCCTCAGCAGTCTTAGTGACCTGGGTACGCCAGTAGAAGTCCTTGACGAGCTTCTCGTTCTCGAAGAAGGGGTTCTCGTCGCCGGTCTGGAACTCGAAGGTGAAGCGCAAGCTGCGGGGCTCACCCTGACCCTTCTCGTTGACCTCGAACCGCTCAACGCTCAAATTTTTGAGCGAGGAGCCGAGCACGGCAGCGTCCGAGGGCAAGACGTACTCGTCAATGTCGGCGGGGGCGTTGGAGAAGACACGGATCCAGAAGTCATTCTGGATCTCGGGGGTGGTGATGAGGTTGTTGCGCTTCTCGTAGAGGGGCTGCAGAAGGGGGACGGATTGGCGGACTTTTCCCCTAGTTAGCAAATGCTGTCTACACCATGGATCTGAAAAACATACGCTGCTCAACCTCCGCGCGAATGAACTCCTGCTCCAAATGCGAGATCTTCTTCGCGGCCTCCTTGGAGACAGTAGGCATCTCGACGAGGTTTTCCTGACCAGCAGACATTATGATAAGGTAGGGGTATATTTCGTTACACAGAACAAAAAAACAAAGGAATTGGGGTATATGAGAGAAGAAAGAAACAAGATGAAAAAAAAGTTAGAGTAGAGGGGCAGAAGTAAATAAAAAAATTCTGCCGTCACAACAGCGGGTTAACTTATCGGTACGGTATCTTAGCACTAAAAAACTCAGATTACCACTTTGAGTAATGATTGGTGAATGTAGATGAGTAATTGTGGTTAATTAGGCTGGTGGGGGTGATGTCATTGGACAGCCCTAGTTAACTGTTTCACTTTATTTACTTTACAGTATGGTCTCAAATATGAGTAAAGTCAGTTTTAGGGTAATTACAGGAATCCGCAAAAATCACTATCTCCTGCAGCATGTGACATGTCAGCCGGTTGAGAACACTAATGGTGTGCCAACGCTGCTAACGTGATGTCTTTTCGTTCTACATAGTTATTCTTTGTGGACATATTGTACGCACTGCTATTGCCCGCGACCAATCTTTATCAGAAATAGCTAAATGGTCAGTCCTTCATAATTCGTCGGCTTCTTTTCCCGCGCAAAGCTATCATAATCAGGACCCGCGACCATTTGCTCAAGCAGACTCTCATAACGATCACGAAAACGATTATAATTGGTTTCTATTAGCCAAAGAGATATGGACGAATAAATCCCTCAATCCCAACTTCCCGAGCTGGGGAGTGGTCAGCTCGATAATGCATCGGTATAAGGCCAATTTCATTATCAAGGTCTTGCTAAGACCATGAATGCCAGGAAACGCATGAAGATGTCCTTCATCGTAAGAGAGGTTGAGGATTAGTGTGAAGGCCGAGGGTTGGATATGTCGAGCTATGGAATTGATTGTGTTGATGAAGTCGACTGTCAACGTATGCTCGGGCAGGAAGCAAGTGTCGTCCATATCGGGGAATTTCCAACAGAGGTGGAGGACGAAGAGCAAATTTTCGGAAGGAATGAGAAACCCAGTTTGATGGACAGTAGTAGCTTCCACCGTATGGTATAGCCCGCAAGCACAAATCCATACACATTCTTCCGAACGAACGTCTGCTTCTCATTTACTCACTGAAAATGGCATGATACAACGATATCCGTGTAGAGTAGGATTTTTTGTTCAATTCCCACGGGCAAGTCAAAGAACTGAGCGAAACGGCAACCTACCGGCTGTTCCCCAGTGACTTGGTCAACTCTTTGCTTGACCCTCATCTGCATAAAATCGTTTCGATATGGCCCAAAGCGAATTTAGCATGATTTGAGATGTGGCGGTTGTAGTAGAGGAGACAGGGATTCATCTGCAATTTGTGGTCGTTTGACATGATCTATAGATGCCAGTTCTTATTGCTCTGGTTTTAGGTAGCTGCAAGGCAAATACAAAGCTACTTCCACCCAGAAATAATAAGCATAGCAACATTGTCAATTGGGTTGGATCCATCAAGGGCATCTGTCATGGATGGATCTAGTCGAATGAAAAGCCGGCGCAGAGACCGGATAGCTACTGGCGTCAGATTGAGTAACGGTGCCAGACCCTCATATGCGCCATTAAAAAGCATGAAAAGGTTTTGCGAATACAGATTAGACCGTACATCCTCCCAGATGGCCCGCGAAACATAGAAAAGCTGCGTGGCGGTTGAACGGCACCGAAAACACTCGCCATGATTTTCTTGCGTCCAGCCCGGAACGGCCTCCAAGAATTGATTGACATCAGTGTTTTTATCGTCTGACGGGCTGAGCACCATTCGCCAACAGTAGTACCGTCTGTTGAAGGGCCTTCTAAGAAGATGAATGAACCCCGGATCAGTCCTAGATAAGCGTAGATTCTCACACGGATTTCTGATGGAAACTGGAGAAGAAATAATTTGTTTTCCATGGTAGCATGAGATATCATCCTGGAGAGAATCTCGCTCTCCTAAACAATGTGCTTTTGAGTTGTGCAAATAATGGGCTGATCTTCTTGCCGCGCGGATAGATAAGATAGCAAACATTATTCAAGTACCTCTTTAGGTCTACCGACGTCATACTTCGGGTTTTGATATTCAATTCACTCGGTCCCTGTCGGATTAAAAAATACAGTCCAGAAAGCCTGCTCGCATAGCTCTTTCGGTCGGTGTCGGTGCATGAAACACTCCGATTCAAAGCCATTGGCCAATCTGCCTGGATCAAATACATCATCGTTCACGGTGCCTTCCGAAAAATAAGCATTCCAAGCAAGTTCCGGTACGGCATTTGTCATCTACACATCATCGTGCAAGACCAGAGGAACAATTAGAAAATTAGCATGGTACGATATAAGAATTTCTTCTCAGACACATCGGAGCCCTCAGCCAGATCTATATGCAGCTGCGCATTGTGCTGATAGAATCACAGAATGTCTAGTTTGATGCAAGATTCCATTGCCGGACATGCGATTCGAATCCTAAGTAAAGGCCGCATTTTCAAATACTCCGAAGAACGAGACCCCTCGCTATGGAAGCAATACACGAACAAGGAAAAGTCCAGTCGCATGGCCTACCATGGCCGCATGGACTCAATCGGTGATGCGGATGGAATCGTGGACGGTGTGACTCGGAGTTCAAGTAGAAGTTCTCGGATCGAGTCTATGGGGAGGATTCCATCATCGGGTTGGTCGGATGGTGGGAATTATTTTCAAGGCTTGACTGGAATGCGGATTGATCCGGAGAAGGGCAAGGATGTGTATTTGATTGACTGGTGGGATGATAAAGACCAGGAGGTATGGGTATATATCCACTCTCTGCATAAACGAAGCTAATGCGACGAAGAACCCACAGAATTGGCCGATGTGGAAGAAGCTTTTCGTCACTTTTGAGATCTGCCTACTCACTTTTAGTGTCTATATTGGAAGCGCTATTTTCACCCCCGGAATACCTACCGTGATGCAGGACTTTGGAGTCAGTCAGGTTGCAGCAACGCTGGGATTGACACTTTTTGTCGGTGGATATGGTCTCGGGCCATTGCTATGGTCTCCCATGAGCGAGATCCCTCAAATTGGGAGGAATCCGGTGTATATTGCGACGTTGATCGTTTTCGTGGCGCTTCAGGTCCCGACAGCTCTGGCTGGGAACTTTGGGACGTTGCTAGCATTTCGGTTCTTAACGGGATTGTTTGGATCGCCGGCACTGGCGACGGTATGGATCTTGTCAATCTTGTCAATTCGTTTCACTAACGAAGATAGGGAGGAGCGACTATTGCCGACATGTACAAACCATCGAAACGAGCATACGGAATCGGAATATGGGGTCTCAGTGCCGTCTGTGGTCCCGTATTAGGACCGCTAGTGGGTGGTTTCGCTGCCCAGGCCAAACGCTGGAGGTGGACCATCTGGGAGCTGATGTGGCTTTCTGGGTTCGCACTTGCAATGTTGATTATTTTCCTGCCGGAGACATCATCAGCCAACATTCTATATCGACGCGCACGGCGCTTACGGAAAATGACAGGGCGTAAGAATCTGATGAGCGAACCTGAGATAGAAAGCGAAGGCTTGAGCAGACGAGAAATGGCCATGATTATCTTGGTCAGGCCGTTCACCCTCAACTTCCTCGAACCAATGGTCTTCCTCCTCAATCTTTACATCGCCCTCATCTATGGCCTGCTATATGTCTGGTTCGAATCTTTCGAGATCGTCTTTGTCGGAATATACCACTTCAACCTAGGCCAGCAAGGCCTAGCATACGTCGGTATCCTCGTCGGTGCCCTCATCACAATCATCCCCTACTACTGGTGGATGAACAAATACCTCGAACCCAAATTCGACGAAAATGGTAACATCCGACCAGAGGCTCGCCTCCCACCAGCCTGCATCGGCGGCTGCTTCATCCCCGTCTGTCTCTTCTGGTTCGGATGGAGCGCGCGACCGGATATCCACTGGATCATGCCGATCGTCGGATCGGGATTCTTCTCCGTCGGTGCGTTTCTGCTATTCAATTCAGTGCTGAATTACCTGCCCGATGCGTATCCGACTTATGCGGCTTCGGTGCTGGCGGGGAATGACCTGTTTCGGTCGGCGTTTGGTGCTGGGTTTCCGTTGTTCGCGTCGGCGATGTATCACAATTTAGGGGTTGATTGGGCGAGCTCAACATTGGCTTTCTTGAGTATCGTTTTTATTCCTATTCCGTGGGTTTTGATGAGAGTGAGTGTTTCCCTTTCCGTTCGGGTGGATTGTGCTAATGGTTACAGTATGGTGAGGTTCTGAGGAAGAAATACAGTCGATACGCCCGGAAGGACATATAACAACGATGCTCATGTCGTTAATCGTGTTTAATCAAATGTACAGTGTCTTAGACTATTAATGGATCTCGATACCAACTACGACCGGAAACACATCCAGTTAAAGCATACTTGAACTTAGGCTACAAATATAGCCCCATGCGCAATGCAAGTGGTAATAGAGAAAAATCAGGTAATCAGCAGGCTCAATGGCATGTTAACTTGCCATACGTACTAGTATGTACATGCACAGCTACAATTGACTCAAAATAAAGCTGCCTTGGCTCTGACAAACAGATCTAATCTTATCACAAAGCCCCCCACTAGAAACTCGAGACCCGCTAGCTAAGCTTGGAAACGACTCGTATATGATTTCCGAAAAGGTATAAAGTGCCCGAGAGCCATCTCGGAGTTTGTGGATGTGATGACGCAGGCGTTTTAGGGTTGAGGTATATAGATGCTGGCTGTACACTCGCTGCTGCACTTGATTAGCAGGTTTCTCTTTCTTAAGAGTATTGCAGTATGAGCAGGTGGGTTCGCGGGTTGAAGCTTGCTTATTTTGTCCCGGTTGCATATATCATTTTCGCAGCAACAATGTCACAAACTTCCGTAAGTCTGTCCTTACTGTACCCGGAAGAGTATACTAATAAATGTTAGTGGTGGGAATGGTCGCAAGGGGCCATCTCAAGCCTCCAGCACTCTGTATTCTCCCTCATAAAACCATCCCAAAGCAACAATGCCGGCCTTCTGCGCGCCTATATCAAAGAACAAGGGGAGGAGACGTTCCGAAACAACCCCTGGGCACTTACAGCCGCAATCGAAGACTTCGCATCAACAGGCAAACACCTAATGATCTTCAAAGAACCAAAACTCAAAGTCGCCCGCGAAGCCCTAGAATCCCTGCCCACAAAACCAAAACTCATCATCGAATTTGGGACCTACGTCGGCAACTCCGCCATCGCCTGGGGCGCAATCCTGCAGGATATCCACGGATCCAACGCTGCTGAAAAAGGATGTCGTGTATACACTTTTGAGCTGGACCCGACTATGGTCCGGTTGTCGAAAGATCTCGTTCAGCTTGCGGGATTAGATGATATCGTGCACGTTTTAGAGGGCCCTGCGTCCGAGTCTTTGAGAAAGTTGTATTATGAGGGGAAGGTTACAGCCAGTGGTGTTGATATGGCATTTATCGATCACTGGGAGAAGTATTATTTGCCTGATTTGCAGCTTTGTGAGGAGTTGGGTGTTTTCCACAAGGGGTCGTTGATTATTGCGGATAATACGGATTTCCCTGGTGCGCCGGAATATTTGGAGTATGTTAGGTCTGGGGGATTGGGGGCTGTTCGGTATGAGAGTGAAGGACATAAGAGCGAGACAAAGAGAGGACCGGTGAGTATTTCTTGCCATGGGAATTGAGTGTTAGCTAACGTTGGTATCTGCAGAGCGTCGTCGAAATTAGCACTGTTGTGGAAGTCTAATTACTGCATACGAGGTACTCTGTGCTATATTCTTATATTCTTTCTAAACGAGCAGTCGCAGGGAGCGTGTAAAGTCAATGTATGCCAAATTAGGAAAGAGCAGAACACAACCAGAGTACAGCCAGCAAAGAGAATGGGTCCAATAACTCGAAATGTAAATTGTTCAACCCAATGGTACCTGAAATGCGTTATGTTAAAGCTCTACGGTTCAACAACTTTATTCAAACAATTTCCTCTTCCTCTCTTGGACAGATACTCTAACTAAAATGGGTATTCTATCATTTTCAATACGATATTCCACCATGTATTGCTGATGCATGTTCACCCTTGTCAACCGCCGTCTCTACCAATGAATAAACCCCTATATGTATCGACGGGATGCTCGCTATTTCAGCAGCTCAGTGCTAGGATGGGCGGTATTAAACGGAGGTGAGCACACCGCACCATAAAATTTTCAATGTGACCCTCATTCAGGAACTTGATGAAAACGATATGCGGCGCCAAATGGAATAAGTTGCAATGTTTGAAAGATACGACGCTGTGATGCGAGTATTACTGGCTCAAGGACTTAGTCCAAATAAGCCCCCTGACCAGTACGGACATCTGCTACAAATTGCAGAGCGAGGTAAGCATGAGGCCGTGACTAGGACATTACTTACACCTAGAACGGACAGAAAAATCTTGGCCAATGACACTGAATTGATTTACTTTACGGTAGACCTGCTGGAGGAATGCTAGTGCGGTCCTAAGCTCAAAGATTCTGAAAGAAATTTCTTGGTGGATGCTGCTATATGCGGCCACACAGAGATATTACGATACCTGCTTTAATTGGGCTGTGGCATTGAAGTTCGAGATGAAGGTGACCTAGCGGCTATTTGCTATGCTGCTCAAGGAGGCCATATCGACACTGTGCATTGTCTGATAGAACATAATTCAGATACCAAATCCGGAATTGACGATGGGATAAGCAAGTATCCAATTTCTGAAGCCCTTGAGAGCACTGCACGGAGACAGTCAGACTTTTGCTGAAACGCATGGATCTCATGACCCTTCCAGCAGATGACAATCTGCATCTTCCTGTGATTCAGAAACACTTGTGGAGCAATTGCTTGGCCATAGCTATTATTCAGAGACACAATATCTAAACGATGGTGACCATGACATTTTCTATGAATATGATGGACGCATCATGGCGAGTGTGTGGGTAGTTGCATTGGATATGTGAAAGTGCCCAAACTGTTGCTGGATCACGGTGCTGATCTTGACTGGCCATTGTTAATAGCAATTAATAGAGGTAGGCTGCGGCAAAGCCATGGCTAGCCGCGGTTAGCCAAAGCCAAAACCGCAAATTGCGGTTTTGGCTAGCACTCCCCCAGAGCCGCCCGCACTGCGGGCGGCTCTGGTTAGCAAAGTGCTAACCGCACGAGAGCCACGGTTAACCATTGGGGCTGCAACAATATAAATGTGCCGAGACTCGTTAGCTGCCAGGTTGTGTATAAATTATGCGTCTTTGATTGTATTTTAGAAGCACAGCGTCACCAATAAACTTGAAGTTACAGGTTGCCATCATCCAGTAACCTTACGATATAAGTTTAGTATATTAAAATAATGCTACTTATATATAAATACACTAGTATTTCGTATTATTTCATATAGGAAGTAGGTAAATGTGTAGAAGGGTACTGTCATGACGAGAGCATGTATATATCGAAATTAGAAATGGATGTACCGTGTATGTCAGCGACATAATTATGAAATAATGGTCGTGAATAGGACAAATAAGCGATATTTATGCTAATGCGGTTATCTTGCGGCTAGCCATGGCTAACCACAGCCAAAGCCGCAAATTGCAGGATTGGCTTTGGTTAGCAAACTTGATAACCAAAATCGCAAACTGCGGCTGCAGTTAGCAAAGAGGCAACCGCAAATGCGGTTTTGCCGCAGTCTAAATAGAGGGCATATGTATGTAGTTAGAATGTTGCCTTCTGCTGTACAACATGACCATGGACGTCCCATCAAACCATATTACCATTTTGACCACCTCAGAGAAGCCCTGAATGTGCACAATTTTGAGACTTTGAAGGCATACTCGATGTATTACTGAGCTACAGTGTGTACAAAAGGCTACAGCGAGAAATCCTGTCTATGGGACGCCATCCGCCAGCGTGAAGCGTTTCGCCTGGAAATACTCTTAATGACTCATGATATGGATACAGACACAAAGGAGGACTCTTGAATCAGATAATATTCACGACGACCCCTTCCATTTATCTGAAACTGGCCAAAGGGCTCTGGCTAAAACCACATTTTGCCGATATACAACTCCTTTTTCATTAAAGTCCTATATAGCGACGATATAGAATATAAAAATCGAACAAGGCCTTTTTCTGCAATGACCCTGAAGGATGAATGAGAATGAACACAAAAAGAACAAAAAGCATAAGCATGACCAGCCATAGCACCATTGCAATCTTACAGTCATTTAGTCCTCGCATCACAAGCCCCAGCCCACTCTCACGATAATCTAGTCAGGCCAGAAACGATCGCATAGCCCTCGAGACCCCCTCCGGGCTCTCATAAGCATGCCAGTGTCCCGTACATCTCAAAACCTCCAACCTCGAATCTTGACATCGCTCATGCACATTAGCAGTAACAGCCTGGACCGGCGCCGTCTTATCCTCATCACCAGCCATGACTAACACTGGCATTGTTAACTTCTCAATCGCCAGTTCTTCGCACTCTGCAAGTGCAGTACAAGCCTTGGCATAGCCCTCCGGGTTTGTGTTCAGAAGGGAAGACCGGACTGCGGTATACGCGACTGGTTGGAACATCTTCGTTGCGGAGGAGGTACCCGCGTCGCTGACTGCTTCGGCGGTTCCGGAGCCGAGAAGACCCCTATTCCGGACTGCTTGCGCGCGGGAGGTTAGGGCTTGTTTGGCCAATGGAGGGAGGGGAGTTGAGACGGGGCCCATGAGGATTAGGTTCTTGATTCTGGATGGGTTGCGGAGAGCATATGTTATAGCGATGAGACTGCCCATTGAGTGTGCGATGAGGGTGATTGGCGCGGTAGTGCTGGTAAAGTTGATAATGTTGGCGAGGTCGTCGGCATAGCTTTCAATTGAAACCCGAGATGCGACGTTGGTGGGTGTTAAACCGTGACCTTCCAGGTCGTAGACGTAGCTTGTAAACCGGGACTCGAAGTCACCGGACTTGACAATAGGAGTAAAGTATTCGCCAGTGCCACCGAGGCCATGGACAAAAATTGCAGTTTCGGGGCCGTTTCCGACCTTTTTGATATTCATCTGCTTTCCTTCTATGCATGTTAAACCGATACCACCAGCAGTGATTTCCAAATTGAGTTCTGGGAGATAGGACTCCGGAATGTACTCGTTGCTCGGCTTCTCCGATGCAGTGCCAATGACATTTTGCAGACGACCAAGTCCGGTTACCTCAACCTCAACTATAGACGAAGTTAATGGCAGTTACAATGAAGGAAGCAGGGATGATAATACCTCGATCACCAGGTTTCAGAAACCGAACCGGATTCTGCCCAAATCCAACTCCGGCAGGTGTACCTGTAGCAATCACATCACCTGCTCTGAGGGTAGCACCCTCAGAAAGAGTCTTGACCAGAGTGGGGATGGAGAATATAAGGTCGTCCGTCGTAGCATCCTGGCGTTTCTCGCCATTGACAAAGGTTTGCACGCGGAGCTTCTTGGGGAGGCATTCAACCGGCACGGCGAGAGGTCCCTGTATTCCTATCAATATCAGAAGAGCGTGAACCACACAAGAATTATGCTTACCATTGGGCAAAAAGTGTCTGCGGATTTCCCAATGTAGAACTGCTTGTGGTCCCTCTGTCTTTCGCGTGCAGTAACATCTATATGATTATTAGCTCAAGTACCATAAGGCATTACGGGTTGTCGTACCATTTATTATAGTATAACCCCAAACATATTCCATCGCCTCTTCTTCCGGGATCTGGTACCCTGATCTCCCGAGGACCACACCAATCTCTCCCTCATAATCAAGAGACTCGGTGAATTCAGAATGAGGGTATATCTCTTCACCACTGGCAATTATGCTCGTAGACCGCTTGGTAAAAATAACTGGATGTGATGCTATAGAGACACAGATCAGCTACATTCCGATATACGTATTTTAAGTAAACTCACGCTGGTCAATCTTGTCACTTGAATCGTATCCGCTTTTGTTAAACTCCGCAGCGTGCTCAGCGTAGTTTTTACCCACTGCTAGGATATCGCGATCACTGAAGGGGGGTAGAACCTGGACTTCGTCAAGGAGAATAGGCTCGCCCATGGGTGTCACTTCATTCTTAAGCTCGATAACTTGATACAATGAGTGAACAGGGGCTCCAGATTGCATAACTAATGGAATCACTCTTGAGGTGTCGAGGTCAAGGTGTCCCACACGCTGTTTGCCCTGCTCATCTAGGTAGGTAATGTAATTACTGAAGTGGTTTTTCTGGGGAACAGCCTCTTCAATCGCAGGGGCACTGCTGCTCAGCTGCTGTGCGAAGTCTCTTGGAGAAGCTTTGTGGATCCTTCCATTAATCATGATAACGTTGAGCCGGTCGTGGTCTTGAAGAATGCTGATGTCTTCCAGGGGGTTCCCATTTACCAGGATGCAGTCTGCATAATAAACTGGTTGAATCTTGCCGAGCTCATGCTGTTGCATAAAGAGCTGTGCAACCCCAGCAGTCGCGGCAATGATAGTTTCCATCGGTGTATAGTCGAGTAACTTGACGAAATGCTCTAGGTCCCGAGCATAGGTACCATGAGGCGTCCAGGCAAAGCCATAATCACCTCCCCTGTGATAATCGCATTAGCACATCTTTAAACACACAATTTCTCCAAGATGTTGGGATGCTTCGTACGGAAGAACAGTAATTCCCCTTTCATGCATTTCCTTACAGCCCCTGATGGCTGCCTCCAATTCCTTTTGGTAGCCGGTTTTCTCGGCTTGACTGTACGATATGCCAAAGGGAGCCGCATCGTGAAGAGTTGCATAGAGCCAGTTGAGACCGGGAGCGACAACGTGTCGATGTTTGTTTTTTTCGAGTGCATCCATAGTCTCTTCATCCATGTAGCTGGCGTGGTATATTACGTCGACGCCGTGTTTGATGCATTGGGCAATCGAATCGCGAGATCGTGCGTGAGAGCAGACCCTTAGTCCATGCCGGTGTGCTTCGGAAGTCAATATCTTGTGATTAAACCGAGGGTGATGCACGCACCTTCATCAACACATGCTGCCACTTCATCGTCAGTGAAGTAGCAGTCATTTGCAGGTCTAGTATCTACCATCTTTAGACTGTCAGCAAAATGCCACAAGATAATCAAATGTCAGAGCATACATCTTCCCCAGACATGCTCAACTTGATTTGATCGACCCCGATTTTTGCATGACTCCGTATAATCTCTCGCATCTCCAACGGTCCTAGAAAGTATGAGCATCATTACCATTTACCAGATCTCGGAGACATACCATCTGCAAATGCAGTAATTTCTGCAGCTAGCTCGCCTCCTCTCCGAGCGATCTCTCTGGCATTTGCCAAATAACGCGGTCCTGGCAAGATTCCCTGATTGATGGCATCGCGGACAACGCTATCCAGACGGTCTTTTGCTGAGGCGGCACCAAAGCACCTGAGATTATCAGAATGTAGTCATTGGCAGCAAGCAAAGGGAGTGGTACATTGTGTATCCAGAATCCAGATACACCATAGCGGATTGGGCCGTGCACAGCGTATGCTCCTCTATGCCGAGATTCCCCAAGCTATCTGTCTCAAATAAGTATGATAATTGCAAGGCTCCATTGAGAGTACTATACCTAAGGCCCCTCCATTCCATGTGAAGTGGGTATGGGCGTCTCCCAGGCCAGACATAAGGGTTCGTCCATTTCCCTGGATCACCTTGAGGCTGGGATCGACACACAGTCTTTCGACTCCAGGAACCGCTCCGACATAGCGTATACGCTCTCCTGTAGATGGTACATTAGCATGATATGTTGATCGTTATGACAGAGGTACTATACCCTCAATAAGGACATCACCAGGGTATGGCTGCGCTCCGGTAGAATCCAAACTAGTAGACCCAAATGTCAGTGACTATCGATAAATGAGTCTATTGTTCTTTACATCTGAACGTTCAAGAGCAAGATTTTCGACGCAGATGGTTTTGCTGCAGGAGAACATTAATATATACAGCACCAAATGGGATAAAACAGGCTTACAAGCTATCCGGTGAGCACGAGGCTTCAGACTCGAATCAAAGTGAACATCATCATGAGGAGAGATCTTCCGTGTAGTTAAAGGCGTGCCCCAGATCTCTTTGGGCCTGTAGGGATGTTGCTTGGAGGTTCCATTGACATAAGGCAAGGCTGTTTCGACATGACCAGGGACCATCGTGTCGTCAAATCAGGGTACGGGGACAAAGAAGCAAATAGCAATAATTGCAAAAGGATTCGGCTTGCTTGATCCGGGCCATATTGGCCGGCATTTTGTCCATTTAAATATACTGACATGGGTTATCCGAAGATGGCCCACTGCTGCTGTACTTCTGTCGGTTTCACCCACGGTAATTTCCTATTCCTTTCTTCCACGAGCAGCCTCGTGTGCAAATGCATTGGCCGTTGGTTTAGAACTTGAAGCTTTGACCGTCTGGCCCACATCCCTGGAGTGTGACATTGGACGCGGAGATGGCGGAGATGATAAGGATTGAAATTAGGATTCTTGCAACGGTGCAATTATAAATATAGAAGCGGATTCCCGGCATCGTTGAGAATAAGGAGCATCTGCACGCATATGCAACATGGAATATCCGACCAGTAGAATTGCATGTCGGTCTGCGAGGAGTGTCAAGAACGACAACTTGCCCTTAATTCCTGCGCCTCAGGTTCAGAGGGAAAATGGGTCCGAGGGCACCAGAATTTGTGCGTCTTTGTTGAGCCTCCTTTCCCCTCTTCGCTTGCGAATCTAACGGCGCAGTAGGGGTTGTGATCGACAACACAGTATATGATGTGACGGAGTTTTCAAAGCAACACCCCGGTGGCCAAATACCTTTCAGGAATTTTGCTGGAAAATCATGTTCTTGTTAGTTGTTCGTTCGTGTGCACGTAAAGTCGAGGCGCTGAGTGTTCCATCCAGGGCAGTTCCATCAGATCCATAGCCTCAAAACGTTGCAGAGATATGAGGGGTTGCGTGTCGGTTGGACAGAGGATGTTCCCAATCCATATCAGAAGCCAAAACCCCAGATCGTGAGGCCATTGTGGTCTCATCAAAACTGGTGATTGTGTGTTGTCTTAAGCGGCGCGTTCGGTGGTCTCGATCATGTGAATTCCCAGAGAGGTATAGCTCCGTTGGTTTAGAGACGACATCTTCATCTCTAGTAAAGAAAATATTCAAGAAGAGATTAGTGCAATAAACAACTGTTTACCTTTGAAGAAACAATGGTGTCTGAGTATACTGCCCTTCGAGTCGTTAAATGCTTACTCTTGGTCTGAGCGCTGACAGGTCTTGCCGCAGCAACTTCATAGCAAGGGTTGAGTGCGGAGCACGATGACTCTCAGGTTCTGACGCAGCTCGTACTGTTTTCAATGGCGAGGATTCCCACCTTACGAGCTTTGTTGCTGCCTCGTCGACTCGTGTCGAGATTCAATACGAGAGTTAGTGGGGCACATACATACAGTGGCCTTGCGCGGCGCTTACTGTGGCGAAGCAGCTATGAGATTCATATAAATTGGGCATAGCCTTTAATCGGCATGTCATCAAATATATCTTCCTTTAAATTCAGTATAGGCACGTGTCACACTTAAGCCATGTGCGGAATATCGGTAAGAATTTCACTTGGCCCCTCTAATAGCTCAGATGTACCAAAACCACCTGGTGTGGAAGCTATCAAGGGCCAGTTGGACAAGTCGCTTGACCTGATCGCGCATAGAGGGCCGGATTCAAAGGGGATCTGGGTCACCGATGACGGCAGTGTTGGTGAGATATTGTTTTCTTATTACCTTCCGGAAATAGCGCTAAATAGTCTATTGTAGGTTTGGGCCATTGTCGCCTGTCGATAGAAGATCTCTCGGATGCGGGCAACCAGCCTCTACACAGCGAAGATGGCGGGGTCCACGCCGTTATTAATGGGGAGATCTATGACCATGAAAGAATCCGCAATGAACTAGAACAGAATCACAGATATCACTTCCAAAGCCACAGCGACTCCGAAGTGGTCCTGGCTTTGTATGCAGTATATGGAGCTCCGGCATTTCTTGATCACTTACGGGGCGAATTCTCCCTTGTGATATATGACCAGCGCCAGGGTCGAATCATCGCCACAAGGGATCGGTTCGGAATCAAGCCATTGTTCTGGACCATCATTGGCGAGAATAATGAACGGGTCCTCCTGTTTGCGACGGAAATGAAAACATTCCTCGGGATGGGCTGGAAGCCTAAGTGGGATGTGCAGTCGGCGTTCCAAACGGGATGGAATATTGATGACCGGAGTCTCTTCAAGGGTGTGAAGAATCTAATGCCCGGATACTGGATGGAAGTAGCATTGCCAGAGGGTCAGCTACGCCGTCACTTGTACTGGGATTCTGACTATAATGACAAGGTGGGACCTTTCCCCATCGGGAATTCAGGTCACAAGCTGACAGCAACTAGCGACAAGTGGAAACCCGGACTGTTGAGGAAATGATTGAGGGTGTCCGCGAGAAGTTGATCGAGGCGATCCGGCTCCGCTTACAAGCCGATGTCCCTGTTGGTATCTACCTCTCAGGGGGGATTGATTCCTCTCTGATTGCCGGTATTGTGGCAAAATTGGTCCGGGAAGAGAATGCTACGCTTGGCAGCAAGAAAGGACAAATCACTTGCTTTAGTATTGAGTTCCCTAACTCACCATTGGATGAATTTGGTAAGTATACAAGGTACCCTGGGCAGGAATGGTGTTAATGTCGATTATCAGATATTGCCAAACGAACAGCGGATTGGCTCGGGGTTGACATAGTAAAGTGCAAAGTAGACGAAGCAGCCCTTGCAGAGCACTTCGAAAATTCAATTTACCACTGTGAATATCAAACATTTGATTTGGGCCCTACCGGGAAAACAATGCTGTCTTCGATCCCCCGAGACGCCGGTTTCAAAGTTGTTTTAACTGGTGAGGGCTCAGATGAGCACTTTGCTGGATATCATTTCACATCATGGGACTTCCTACTCGAGCCTGATCTCTCCTGGCCGGCTTCGACATTGACCCAAGACACTAAGCGTCTCAATCAAATGCAGCAAGCAGCCGTAGAACTTCTTGGTCGCCAAACTGCTGCTCTAGGCGTTAAAGGAGAGAAGTTTAGATGGAACGAGGCCTGTTGGGGTTACCACCAGGTTAACCGAGTCAACATGCCTAATACCATTCTGAGTATGTCTGGTGCAACGTTCCCAATGTGGGCGCCCTGGGTGGTCGAAAAATGGTCCGGGCTTGACCTGCGGGAAACAGTGATTAGAGCCATGCCTCCAGCTGCGCGCGAGAAGATTTTGAACCAGTGGCATCCTCTGCATACATCGTTGTACATCACTACGAAGACACTTCTGAGCAACCAGCTCCTGGTCTCCTTGGGCGATCGAACAGAGATGGCGCACAGCATCGAAGCACGTCCTCCGTTCCTTGACCACAACCTTGTCGAATACGTCAATCGACTCCCGCCCAGTCTAAAGCTCCGGTACACATCTGACCTAGATTCCAACACAGACCAGCAGGAACAGGAGCCACAGTTAATCGAAAAATGGATCCTACGTGAGGCTGGGAAATCGTTTATTCCCGAGGAAATCTATAACCGCAAGAAACAACCATATTTGGCTCCTGTAAAATGGCCGCAAAACGGGCCCCTCCACCAAATGTTCCAGAGACTGTGCACCAAAGAAGCAATTGAGAACCTCGGTTTCGTGGACTGGGCCCCGGTCGAACGGGCGCTGCAGCATGCATTCGGACCCAAGGGGGACCAGGGGCTGTTCCGGTTACTCGTTTGTGTTGCATGCTGGGTTGTGCTCAGCCAGCGGTTCGGGGTTGAAAAGGCAACGGAGGCGGAGTGGGCGGATAGTCCGTTGTATGACCCCTGGTGCGACATTTGATTTGCACTTCCCTTTTAGTATCAGACTGGTGTCATAGTTTGTTTGGTTGGCGGTATGCTCTAGCCAGGACTGGGGCGTATCCGCGAAGCCATCAACTCGCTCCCGACTGTAATAATAATAGACCATAAAGCTTTGGCCAATTTCCAGCCGGCAATACACTTATATAAAACCCTTTCGCCTCCCAGCCACCAGAAATCCAGCTCTAGACCCGAATCCATTGTTCCAAAGATAGATCCCGACACCATTGAACTCTGTCCCATTTTCCAGAATAAATAGCCACCGGTTTGTAAATCCCGGTGATTCTGTTGTTGCGGTGTAGAAAGTACTTTCCAGCTGAACGGATTCAGAGTCAAATATAGAAGCCCAACCTCCCCAACCCACCTGTCAACTCGGGCCCGGTCCCACAGAGAGCTCTTTGCCGGAATGGGTAGGTGGTTTAGAGCTTTGTATTAAGCGTGAAAGGTTTAATATTTTCTTACCGAAGTCCACTATTAATTACGACTAAAGCGTTATTGGAATGAGCTCGGAGGATAAACATAGACGGGTCCCTGACCCAGCGGCAGTTGGGCCCACTTGAAATGGGTCGAGGACATGTATAGCATCTTCGATGTGCAGGAGACATGGAAGTATACCATAATGAAACTCCGAAAGGAATCCATAGCTAGAGTTTAGATCTTCGTAGCCATTGACCTCAGCAATACGGATACGTGGCACGTGAGGCAATTGTCGGCCTCAGGCCATACAGAGCAAGTCATGTTCGTCCACACTGGCCATTGTCTTTCTTTCTGTGTAAACAAATCTACAATATCAGCAACATAGCCAGAAATATGATCCAAGCTACCCTGTCATTCTCAACGGCGAAGCCAGAAAGCTCACAAAAACCAGCTCATCTAGCAAACACCTTCCAAGATAAACTTTACTTCCTCTACGGCACACTAATGAACCCCTCTACACAGGCATTAGTCCTCAAACATCCTGGTCGACCAGAACACCATAGCACATATATTGCAGGTCACCCAATAAACTCTGGGGCGAGTACCCGGCCGTCGTGGATGAGATCTCAGACCAGACGATTCGCGGGGTTGTCTACAGAATCAGGTCGCGGGTCGAAAAAGACCGGCTTGCGCAGTATGAGATGGATGTTTAAAGGGTGAAGGATTGTGTTGTGCATTTTGGAAATGGGTCGAGGGCTGCTGGAGTTACGTTTGTGTGGAATGGGGATATGTCGCTGCCTAGGGAGCTTTTATATGAAGGATTGAGTCTTGGAAAAGAGGAAGCTTTCGATTCTGGGCGGTTGATGCTATAGCCTCACTTTACAGACTCCATTACATGGCAAATCTGTCTACAGGTGGCTCACTTCCCAGGTCATTAGGCTGTTCAGACCTCTTCCGGCCAAGACAAGCAGCGATACCGGTTAATTTTTGGCTGTGCAATTGCGCTGTTTCCGAACTGGCTTAAATATCGACATGTGGTGCTCTATTGGAATTCTCGGCAGGGCTGTCCATTGCCCCTCGTATTGGGATGTCAAATTCAGCCTCATTTCCCGCCTCATTTTTTCCTAAAGCGGAAATTCTGCGTTTGGTCGATTAGTTCACGCGGACTATCATTTTTCTTGAGACGTCATCTGAGCCGCAAGTCACATTTGAAACAAACGCAGCATATACAGGCCCTTCTATGAATTCCTGACAATAAACTTACATGTCCTATACTGCCAGGACCCAAGTGTACCTGAATTCGAAGGGCGCTTTAGACTCAATGCAGTCGGCTATGGCCCTGTCTGTGCGCCCCCAGGAGAAAATTGCGAGCATACAGTGGTCAAAGGCGATATGTCACTGACCTAGTTTACTTTAAATGAGCCAAACTCCAAAGAACAAATGGCATTATTTTGGGGAAATGAATTATTTCGAGTTCTCATCCACACAAGGCTTTGTATTACTTCTCCGGATAGTATGCATTTGCACGTGCACATGCATGTGTACCTTGCTGGATGTTGGCTATTGTACAGCAAAGTACCTTGCTAAATTCCAAGTTTTTCCTGCCTAAATTGATGTCGGTTGCACAATCATGTCCATACACCCAAGAAACGAAACCAGAGAGATAAGAGATAAAAGCAGAGACAATGACATTATTTGCCTATAATAGGATAACATTGCGGTGTGTTCAGCTTTACAGAGGCTTGGTTTGACAAGTGGTGGCAACTCAGCTGAAGAATAAAGTATATAGGGAGCTCACGATTAGACTCGGGCACCTGAGCAAAAATTTGACAGAGCTAAACTAGTCATACATCGCTCAGACACTGTCGCAATGGCATCCTAGGGACAGGAGTATGGGCCCTTGAAGAGCCAGTGTATGACTGCAAACAAACATACAAGAGCAGTTCCCAATGCATTTTCTATGGAGGTTGAATTGAACAATCCAGGGCCTTCGTAGGTCATACAATCCCTGAATACTATGCATGAGTTTGGCCTTCAAGCAATGGCTGTCATACCAAGTGGAATTTGAAATCATCTTTTGTATTCGTATAGTGTAGCAAGGGAAGAACGCTATATAACGGTCTTCTGCTCGACCCTTAACACAACCCTCTTCTACCATTTTCAGTCTTAAATTCCCATTTCACAAAATGATTTCAAGACAATCAACCATGTCTATATTTGAAGAAAATTCATGATCTTTGTAAAATCTCACAACCCCATAAATACCCCCAGCGGACAAGAAATGCCCGAACGAGTTGGATTTAACTGGGACATCCCTCCTGCTACATTTATCTGGAAGGACGGTATACTTGAAACCGATGGAGATTACTTGGGAGTCGTCCATGAGCTGAGCCAGGGAAGATCTTTATTTCATATCCCTTAAATGAGCGGGGCTGAAGCTCAAAATGTTAGATTTGAGGCACGGGACCGGGGATATATGATGAAGATCAATGGTGTGTTCCGTACTACCAACTTCTAATTGATTGGAAAACGTCATGGCTAACAACTGGAACAGCTGTTCCGGCATTTGTGAAAGGTAGTGTTCTCTGCGCTGATGAGGAGCAAAGAGGTATGTATTATAAATGCAGTGTACCATGCGTGCTCTGCTGAATGTTTACACAATCTTAATTAGGCGTAGACTTAATCTGCTTTTTTTGAAGTTCTTCCTCCTCTTGACGACTGAGGGTCTGGCCTGTAAACCATCTTCTCAGATATCTTCAGGCGCCTATGGGAGGATATGGAGCCATAAATAGCAACTACAATTGTGCAAGGATTTCCGCAGCAGCCTATCATGAGCTCCCCATTGGACTCCGGGCGCTTCCTGACGAGCTAAATGTTTGGTGATCATGGGGATTTGATTGGTTATAATAGCTAGTATCATCACCTACGTCCAATTGAATCTCAAGGCCAACGTGTGGTTGCATGCAATCCCTGCATCTCTACTTCCTATGATTCCGTCTGAGTGATAGTTCTGCACCAATTGAGTAATGCAAATTACCTTATGTAGGGCAGGGAAGAAAAAGGCCATATAAGTAACTGCTTATTCCCCTCCGTCCCCTCTCTGCTATTCACGCATTTGCTACGCTCAGAATTCTTCCACCCTCCTAGTTACAATGCAAAGAAATTCAAGAACGTCTACACCTGACACGAAATACGTACTCTTTACATATCACCATGGCCCTATCATCGCCCCCATAGACGATCTACAGCCCGATCCTGCAAGGCTCGGACGGGGAGCAATGGCCGTGTTCACTGTAAGGAATGGTGAGCTTCACTGCAAGGACAAAATTCTAGCGTTTTTCTCGAACCCGGGTCCACAGCAACTGTTGTATTTTATTCCTTCAAAGGACGTTACTCCATTATTTAACACAAAAGTTCAGTTTGACTGGGAGGGTGGGAAGTGTGTTATGAAGATTGCCAGTATGTTCCTGTTACTGCTTTAAAAATTGAAGAACCATTGACGAAACTAAACAGGCGCTGTTGTGATTGTGTGGGATGGCTATCTGTACGCTGATACTTCTCGGACTAGTATGTATTCATTGAGACGTGATGCTTAGGAGGCACTGACATTTTTGGAGGGGAGAGCAGTGCTGCTTTGTTCGATATTATGCCTTGCAATGAAATAGGATCAGTTTGAAAAAGATTCGAGATTGTTCGTTACTTGATAAAAATGCTTTAGGTATGGTTCTGCTTCAATTGCTAGTAAGCTTCGGCTATAATGACTTTGAGTAGGCTTGAATCTTATATCCATATCTCCAACATATTCCAGTTATAAGTATTGGGATCAGGTTAAGCGTAAAAGCTGTATATCAAAGTCGTACTATTCAAAAAGTTCATAGTAGGCACTTGACCACCGTCACGTGTCGACCTCATGTGACCTTCATTTAGACGGCATTCCCTTCCCCTCCATTCTTCATCTTCAGCAGCACCTAAGAGCTAACTCTTCTCCTATCCTTTCTTCCCGTTATTCTTTATGATCACGAGACATGGACTTACGAGCTAATATACACTCGTACCAGCGCGCAAATTCCCTAAGTCGTTCTAGTTAACTATGGATCGACGCAATCGACTGCTGATTCAAAGCAGAACAAGAGGCTACTATATTCGAAGACTTGGACGGTATAGGTGTCGAGCTGCGTGTTGGTTTGCAGTCTTACCCATACAAAATGGTGAGATTCATTTCTGAACTGAAATTGGGATCGACGGAGAATGCTAACGCTCTGTATTTTACACAGAATTGTATGTTTAAGACTTCACGAATAGAACACGTGCAAGCCTAGAAGCAGTCAGTTCAAGCTGGTGGGACGTTCTGCCATGTCCAGATTAGGCGTCGCATGTCGGACGTGGTGAGACGCGAGAAGACTTTTCGAACAGAAACAGGGACAACCGAAAGGTATTGTAAATAGTCCAATTATACTGGTTCGTCTTGACAGGCTTTCACTCACCGTGGTATTGAAAGGGTTTCGATTTTCTTGGGTAACCCGCTTTCTGCGCTTGAGATGAATATGCTATGAGCTGTTCAGCTAGCCATTTCTAGGGCAAACAGCCTCTTCTCCATAGCGTCCTCGCCTATTGGATAACAGAAAGCCCCGACAAATTAGCCGTGCCAATCCTACACGTCACCCGGGGTCCGGGTCCATAGAAACAAGCTACATATATCGTCTTGTTCGCTCTTCTTGCCTCGCAGAATCAGCCCAGTTGCAAATTCTTCCGATTTCCAGGCAGAAGTGTCTGCGATCGAGGGGTGCTTTGCCCGCAATGCCATTGGCTATGTCTATAGCCTATTCTTGCTGCTACAGGTAGACCGGAACGGAAACATGTAGCAACTGGCTTTGAATTTGGTAGACGGCTGTTTACATTGAAGGTAAATCGCTGTCGGTGGTATATCACCGAGAAGGTACTTG